GTATTACTGTGCTTACTATTCAGTCTGTCTCCGCAGCCTAGAGTTCCAGCTCCAAGAAGGAAGGGGCCTTCGCTCTTTTCTTCTCCAGCATATTCCAAGAATAGAACAGAGGCAGGAACACAGTAGGTGCTCAATAAATGTTAGTGGAATGCCTCCCCTTCCCAGCCCTTGAAACAGCTGCAGTAGAACTGGTGAAAAAGAGGCTGGGTCCAGAGAGGGGCAGAGAGTGGCAGTGCCCAGAATGTCCCACGCAAGGTGCTGAGCAGGTACTCCTGGGGACAGCCCCACCACAGGGGACAGGCAGGGGAAGGCAGCCTTGTTCAGGAAGGAAGACCCAAGGCTGGGCACCACGCAGAGCTTTGCTCTCACCCCAGCCCTGCTATCGATTTGCTGTGTGGCTTGGGACAAGGCACTATCTGTCTCTGTGTCTCAATTTCCTCTTTTGTCAGACAATATTAGCATCTTTATCTAAAAACAATAAACTTCCACATTACAGCTTTGGGCACCTACAGCCTGAGGCGAAATCCTGCCTCTGCCACTTACTAGCTGTGGGTCAGGCAATGTAGGCACCTTCTGGAAACCTCTACCTTTACTTGTAAATGACATAATGATAGAGACTGCATCACACGTGAGCCTTTTGCATGTCCTGCCTGTTTTGCTCTTCACACACTTGTGGTGCAGCTGCTCACACTGTCCTCCCCGTGGGGAATGACGGGAGAGCAGCGAGCCCGGGCTCTCCCCATCCTCGTTCTGTCGCTGCAGCTTGGATGATGGAAGGCTGTGTGCATTTTCCTTGCCTGGTGCACTCTGGCCTTGGGTGGTGCTCACCTACTGGGCCTCAACCTTGGTCAGGGGCGTTGCAATGACAAGACACTTCCTAGGTAGGACAAGCGTCAACAGCCCTCCACATTAGTGCAAAGAACAATCAAGCCCCTGAATCGGGGATGGTGGAGAAAGCCCTCAGGACCTGAGAAGGGACAGGGCCTGCAGGGCACTGAGCTGCAGGCGGCTGCAGGACCAAGGACCATTTGAGGGACGGGGACACCTTCGGGCCGCCCACACCCCAGACACAGAGCCAGTGTTAGTCGGCCTCTTAGCCTGGGTTCCCTGGAAGGGTCTGAGTGTACGTGGCTTACCAGGGATCCCTGGTACAGCGGGGCGGGGAGAAGAAAGTGAGGGTGGAGGGTGGAGGTGGGGAAGGGAAGCCAACAACGTGTGTGCTGTCAGTTGAGTGCTGCCAATGGAGTGCGCATGCTCTCAGTAAAGTGTGTGCTATTCGTAAAGCATGTGCTGTTGATACAGTGTGTGCTATTGATAAATTGCGTGCTACTGATAAAGTGTGTGCTATTCATAAAGTATGTGCTGTTGATAGAGTGTGTGCTGTTGATAAAGCATGTGCTATTCATAAAGTGTGTGCTATAGAGCCAAACACCACTGTGAGAAATGGAGCTTAATCCCTCAGGGAACTGCTGGGAAATGGTACAAAAACACCCGCCTCACAATGATCCCACCCAGGGGTATTTATAAATGAATGCCTGAGATCGCTGGCTGACCGCTGGTCCTGGGGCGTAATTCCCTGAGCTTTCAACTTCTTGCAGCCTCTGGGTTTCTGTAAAAGACTCTGGGCATGCAAGGGCAGGTCTTGGCAGCAGGAGGTTGGTCAGGACCCTGAAAGAACCGGGACACGCGAGCAGGGCTCTGACTGCAGCTGGCAGGGTCAGACTCGGGCCAGGCTTGTGCGGAGCAGCTGGGGGCTCTGGCCTGCTCTGAACCTGCAGCTCCCCTCTGGGGAGGGGGCCACCTCTAAGGACTCTCTCGGTACCAGCATTCTGGGGGCTGCACATCTGTGAGAACCACCTCTGGATTCAGGGAGACCAGCTCGGCAGGGGCTCAGTACCTGGAGCGCTCCCGGGTGTGCATGAGCTCTGCTCCCGGCTCTCCGGCCTCCAGGCTAGACCACAGCCATCTTCCTGCAGTCAATGTCCCCACACAGTAGGGAGTGACGTTTTTATGGTGGTGAACTATACATAACACAAAATTTGCCGTCTTAATAATTTTTATGTGCACAGTTCAGTGGCATTAAGTCCATTCACATAGCTGTGCAATCGTCATCACCATCCACCTCCAGAACTTTTTCACCTTCCCAAACTCTGTACCCATTAAGCACTAACTCCCCATGCGCCGCCCCCCCCCACCCGCCTTTGACAACGAGTGTTCTGTGTATTGTCTCTATGAACGTGACTAGAGGGTGATTTTTTTTGAGACAGAGTCTAGCTTTGTTGCCCAGGCTAGAGTGGCATTAGCCTAGCTCACAGCAACCTCAAACTCCTGGGCTCTAGCAATCCTCCTGCCTCAGCCTCCCGAGTAGCTGGGACTACAGGCATGCGCCACCATGCCCGGCTAATTTTTTCTATATATATTAGTTAACCAATTAATTTCTTTCTATTTATGGTAGAGACAGGGTCTCGCTCTTGCTCAGGCTGGTTTCAAACTCCTGATCTAGAGCAATCGGCCCGCCTGGGCCTCCCAGAGAGCTAGGATTACAGGCGTGAGCCACCACGCCCGGCGAGGGTGATTTTTAAAAAGCATCTCAGTGACCAAAGCTGCCTCCTGTCGCCTACCTCTCCCTTCCCCAGGTTGGCACTTCCACCCCAGAGTCAGGAGTAGTGCTGTGGCTGCCAGCCCCACACCTTCGTCATTCATTTACGAAATAGAAATGCTACAGAGCTTTGTGTATAAGATTTTTTTTTTTTATAATAGCAAAAGCAGAACAAAACAAATGCCAGGAAATCTATCTGTAAATTAAACAATAAAGTGTGGTGGACCACTATACTCATGACAGGGGTAGATATTGATGATATGATGCTAGAAAGGAAGCATGTTCCAAACGTGCACAGGTTCACAATGACGCAACTCAGAAGGGCTTGGGGCACTTACTTTCCAGTGCTCAGCTAGAGCCCTTTGCTGGGAACTGCCCTCTACTGAATGGGGCAGCCTTAACAAAGCCTACAGAATAGATGCTTTAAAATTACCAGGGCTTATCTTTGGGTAGCGTTAGTATAGGTAATTTTCCTGTATTTCTCAAGTTTTTGACATGAAGTATGTGTTACTCATCTGTTGTATTCTCCAGGTCCTTTTCACTCTACCTCTTTGCTGTTCCTTGAACTTGCCAGATGTTCCTGCCTCTGGGCATTGGCACTTGCCCTGCCCTCTGCCTGGAGCTCTCTTCCCTTAGACACATGCTGGCCCACTCCCTCCCCAACTTCAAATGTCCCCTCCTTGGTGAGGCCTCCTCAGATCCACCCTACTGAGATAGAACCCCATCCCTCTCCCAGCACCCCTCCTCTGCTTTATTTTTGTCCATAGCATTTGTTGCCCCCTGACATGCTGTACATGTTACTTCTTTACGTATTCATTGTCTGTCTTTACCCTCTAGAATGTAGGGCCTTTGTTTTATTTACTGCTCAGCACCTAAAACAGCCGAGTACTGTTCTCAGTACATAGTAGGTACTCTAAGATGTTCTAAGAGTAGCTACACAGTAGGTGCTTAACAAATGGTTGTTGGGGGCAGGTGCAGAAGCTCACGCTTGCAATCCCAGAATGTTAGGAGGCCAAGGATCTCTTGAGGATTGCTTGTGGCCAGGAGTTCAAGACCAGCCTGGGCAACATAGTGAGACTCCATCTCTATAAAAAATTTAAAAATTAGCCAGGTGTGGTGGCTTATGCCTGTAGTCGCAGCTACTCAGGAGGCTGAGGTGGGAGGATTGCTTGAGCTCAGGAGTTTGTCACTACAGTGAGCTATGATCACATCATGGCCCTCCAGCCTGGACAACAGAGTGAGACCCTGTCTCTAAAAAAACAATAAGAAGAAACAAAAGGTTGTTGAATGAATGAGTAAATGCATGAATGGGGCCATTCCAGTCTTATTTGAGCTCCTACCAGGTTCTCATTTAGGGACTGGAGGGGGCGCAGGTGTGGGACAGGAAGTAGAAAGCAGCAGCAGTTGGGGTGGTGGGCAGGAAGAAGGAGGACCCCTGGATGATGCCAGCCAATGACAAGCCATCATCCAGATGACAGGTTCACTATGGCACTGGGGTCAGGTGGCAAAGGGTTTCTGATTCGGCCCCAGGGTGAGAGCAGCAGTGTGTCTAGAGCATCCAGGGCCCAGGGCGGAGGGAATTCAACCAGAAAACTAATCTTCACACAAAACATCCAGGTTTTGAGAACTCTCCAGAAGAGACAGGTTGCCAATGGGAAGAAGGCTATCCTAAGGGCCTAATGGGTAGATATTTACAAGGACTCCTATTTTGGCTTGATATAAGAACTGGCTCCCGCTCCTCCCTCACCACCCGCATGAGAACTATCCAAGGAGTTGAACTTCCTGGCGAAGGTGAGTTTGCTGTCTGGATGTCTGCAGAGTCCAGGATTCCCTCACCCATGGCTTGAACTTTCAATCAATGCATTCAAAAGCTACTCATTAAGTGTGCGTCCTTGCTCAGCACTGTGAAAGCAATGACGACTTAACATTGTTTAAATAAATAAATACACATACAGCGACAAAGTGTAAAGGCACAAAACTGGGCTGCCAGAGAGAGAGGCCTCTCTAGGGCCTCCCTGATACCAGAGGGAGCCCTGAATGATGAGCCTGTCTCCAGCCTGGGATCCGGGAAAATGCACCGGGGCACAGCAGACCTCAGGGGCATGGCACGGGGCGCTGGGGCTGGCAGGGACCTGGGTGCACACTGGAGGAACGCGAGGCCCACAGGCGGGGAGTGACTTGCCCGTGGACACACAGCAAATCGGTGCAGCCGTCGAGGGGTGGAGGATCAGCGCAGCCTCCCCGCACCCCCACCCCAGGCCACTGGCTCCCGGCCAGATCCGCCAGCTATGAGCCCTGAAGGCCAGAAGCAGCGAGAGGTGAAGCCGGAGGTGGAGAGAGCCTCGGCTGGACCCCTAGGGGGTGGGAAAAGGGGACAGGGGGCGGCACCGCTGACGTCATTTCCGGAGTCGGGGGTATATAAGTGGGGCGCAAGAGCTCTGTTGCTACTGCAGTACACTAGCCGCGGGCAGAGGCTTGTGGCGGACCGACGGACGGACGCCGAGCCACTGCTCCCCTCACCCCCGCGCCCGCGCCGCTTCAGCCTGCCCCCGGGCCGCCGGTCCAGCCGCCCCTCGCCCGGAGCCTCGGTGCCCGGCCCCACACCGCCAGCTGCTCGGCGCCCCGGGTCCGCCATGCGCTCCGCCGCTGTCCTGGCGCTCCTGCTCTGCGCCGGGCAAGGTGAGCGAGCGCGGGGGCTCGGGGAGAGGGTCCCCGGGCGCCCCTGCCTGCTCTTGTCCTGCCTGCTCTTGTCCTGCCTGCCCTGAGGTCCGGGCACCCACCGCGCAGCGCCACGCGCCCCTCCACACGTCCCCGCGGGCGCGGCGAGTTTCAGCACCGCGGACAGCGCCTCCGCCTCCCACCCGACTCCGGAACCCGGCCTCCGCCCAGGACCCGCGGGACGCTTGGGCCGGACTCCCAAGCCCGCGGGGTCGGGCCCCCTCGCGCCCCCACCCCTAGTCTGGGCTTGGCGCCTCGCTGCATCGGGACCAGCGCGGGTCCGCGCGGTGGCCGGCCAAGGTCACTGGGGGGAGGTGGGAGGGACTGCTCTCTCCCCCTGTCCCCTTTCTCCCTCCTCCATCCCCCCACTCTCCCTGTCTTTCAGCCCTTGCTTCTCCCTCTCTCTCCCTCCCTCATCTCTCTCTCCCTCATCTCTCACAGCCCCCTATCTCTTTCCCCCACCTCTGGGGGCTCTGTCCCTCCCCCTGCAAAGTCCCCCACCCTAATCCCACTGCTGCCCTTGGCCTTGTTTTCATAGCACTTTTCCCTCCAGAGCACACCTCCTCCCCTGCAGGAGCCTTCCCAAGGGGAGGGAGGGCCTCCCAGTGCAGCTTCTGGGGGCCATGCCCCGGGGGCAGCAGCTGGGTAAGGGAAACAAAATCAGCCCCAGCTGGCCTTTTGGGTGGGGGCAGTTTATGGGGGAAGCATTGGGTGCAGGGGCCCCAGTGAGCCCAGTCAGCCAGGACTGGGCTGCCCTTGGAGCAGAGGAGTGACTCCAGTGCTCTTTCTTTCTCCCTAGTCACTGCCCTCCCTGTGAACAGCCCTCTGAATAAAGGGGACACCGAGGTAAGAGGGGTGCTGGGGACAAGGGGTAGGAGGTTCCAGTGGACACCTCACAGCAGTTCTTGGGCAGCTGCAGGAGTGAGTTTGGCATGAAGCCAAGAGCCAGCACTGCGGCTGCTGAGCCTGGGGACAGCTTGCAAAAGAAGATATCAAAGATTGCTTACTTTCGCTGCCATCCCGCTGTGGGGACTTCCCCAGCTTCCTCTGAGCTGCCTGTGCAGCCCGAAGGGCCAGTGTCTTACCCGCTGGGTGGAGGTGGCAGGCCCGCTTGCTGTCTTAAACACTGAATCCAGTAGGCCCACCATGGGCTGGTGGGGGCAGCTTCTCTGTGGTTGTCTTTGTCCACAGACCTGTGAGAATAGCCTTCACCTGCCTAACTGTGGCCTCCCCCTTCCCTCTTCTTCTCCCCACAGGTGTGCCAGCAACACCCCCAGGTACTCCAGCCCTGGCTCTCCTAAAGGGCCACAATGAAAACATACTTTTTTCTCTTTTGTGAGACAGCGTCTCACTCTGTTGCCCAGGCCAGAGTACAGTGGCATCATGATAGCTCACTGCAGCCTCAAACTCGTGGGCTCAGATGATCCTCCTGCCTCAGCCTCCTGAGTAGCTGGGGCTATAGGCATGTACCACCATTCCTGGCTAATTTTTTCTATTTTTTTTTTTTTTTTTTTTTAGAGATGAGGTTTTCCTATGTTGACCAGGCTGGTCTTGAACTCCTGGCCTCAAGTAATCCTCCTGCATTGGTTTACAATGTGCTAGGATTACAAGCATGAGGCACCACACCTGGCCTGAAAACATTCTTGAGCATGCTCCTGCACCCAGGGTCCCAGCTGGGACTGGTGGTGGAGGTCACATGGGAAAGGGCCTTACGAAACACTGGGAGGGGTTTCTTTAGCAGCATGAGACACTCCATGCTGTGCGTGTACTTGGAATTCATTCATGATGGAGCTGGAGCTGTTTTTGCAGGCTTTGGTACTCATATAAACTTCCACTTGGGGATCAGAGAAATTTCTATTTTCTACCTTTCCAGGAGCTGTTTTCTTCTAGTAGAGGCTACAGTTAAAACCCAAAGTATCAAAGAGATTTCAGCCTCAATTTACTTAATTATATTTCCTATTTTTTAGCTGCATATAGAGCAGAATTTAAACCCCTACCATTCATTCTAGCTGTGCAACCTTGGGAAAAATTCTTTAACTTCTCTGAGCTTCCCCTTTCCCTCCTTTCCCTCAAGGGGAAGAGTAAAGTGGGAATCGTGACTCTGCAGTGCTTGGCACATAGTTGGTCCTTGGTAAATGGCCACTGTTATTCCTAGAGCTTCCCTTCTTGATCTCCCCAACCTTCTTGGGATCCCTCCCCAGTTCTTGTCTTCTGGAGTCTGCCCCCACGGACAGGTGATTACCTGACAGGCAAGGTCTTGGGTTGCAGGGAGATACAGGGAATAGGCTGCTGGACCCTCTGCCAGGTCCCTTATGGGAGACACTCTGGTCACCATATTCTGCCCAGCAGTCGGGCCAGGGGCACCAGAGCAGCTGGTTAAGACCCGAATGCTCCATCTGAAGCTGTTGTGACTACACACACATACTGTGGAGCACTTGCCAGTTTGCCATCCTGCATCCTTGGACCGGTTGCCTTGGCATCCCTTAGACACAGCCTTCCACCCCCACGCTCCCGCCAGCATTGCCTGACGCCTGTCTGACACCTCCTGCTCCTCTACCCGGGCTATTGAAGCAGGTCTGGAGTTGTGACTCTGGGGGTGTTGACACTTCACGCTGGAAAAGACTATTTTTCCATCTGTGCCTTATTACCCTGGGAGGGCAGCGGGGAGGGTGTCCTTACTCCCATTTTACAAATGAGGAAACTGAAGCTCAGAGAGGTTAAGTCACTTGTCCAAGATCACACAGCTAGTATAGCACACTACAGTTGGTACCATCATCAAAGATCACTCATTTATCAGGTAATTATCTGCAGCACCTTGATGGGCAGTGGATATGATTTTCAGAGGTATGGCCACAGTTGGCCTGGGATGGGCACCCAGATGTAGCCAGTTTGTGCTCACATCTAGCCAGGGGTTCATCCCACGAGTCAACAAGGAGCCAGAATATGAAGCTGTGACTCTTTGCATGTGACACCATCATGGGTGTTGGGAGACAGGTCCTGTTTCCACAAAGGGAAGTGCCAGGGAAGGTCTTTTTCTCCTCTGGGCAGTCCAGATGGACTTCCTGGAGGAGCTGACCTTCGGCCATCTTTAAGACCAAAGCACAGTTTAAAGACATCCTTTTAGTGCCCAGGAGCAGCTTCCTCATACTTAGAGAAATAGCATTTGGGGATAAGAAGATACCGGGTACCCACCCCAACACCCCTCTCTCACCACGATCCACCTTATAGGGGTGCCTGCTGGCCATGTGATGGAGTGCCTGGCACATGGCCGGCACCATACAAGGGTTTTCTATTATCGCTGCTATTACTGAGAAAGCTATATGCTAAAAAAGCAGAGCTGTGCCCCTGAGCCAGGCACCCGCTAAAAGCAAATGCCTTGCGTCCTCATTAGAAATTTGCCCTCGAGCCTCCAGGGGCTGAGCCGGATGCCCAAACCAGCCCCAACCTACCCCGACTCTCTTCCCAGGTGATGAAGTGCATCGTCGAGGTCATCTCTGACACGCTGTCCAAGCCCAGCCCCATGCCTGTCAGCCAGGAGTGTTTCGAGACACTCCGAGGAGGTATGGGCCACATGCTGGGGCAGGGGGCTGGTGCCTGCTGGGCTGGGAGATGGGTGTGTGGCTTTTGATGGAATTAATGATTCAAATCAACAATCACTGGCTGAGTGCCTGCCTTGGCCAGGCACTGTGCTGGAGCCCGAGGGGTGTGGGGAGACGAAAGGGTGACAACTCCTGTGCTTACACACTGGCAGAGGGGACACATGTGGACATAACTAACTAGAATCTGGGCAGAACCAAGCCAGGACTGGAACAGCGAGCCACCAGGCTGTGAGCTCCCCGTGGATAAGGACTTTGGGTGCTATGTCCCCAGTGCCTAGGCAGCCTCTGGCACCTGGCAGAGCCTCTAGATAGGGGACAAAATCTTTCCAGCCAGCCAGTCAAGCTTCAACTAGCTGTCACATGGAGCCAGTAGCATTTGGGGTACGCTTAAAAAGAAACATTGCAAGTCAATAGGTGGAAAAGGGAAGAAAGGGCCCTCCAGGCAGAGCAGACAGCGTGAGCATGGCGCAGAGATGGGAACATGCGCCGTGTTTGGGGGACCTTCCTCTTCCTCACGGGGCTGCCCCAGCCTGGCTGAGGTCTGGGTGTTGGGACAGCGGCTGACCTTTCCCATGTAGTGGACAACTGACACCTTGGAAAGGAGGTAATTTAAGAAGTGTTAACTCTAGACCCAGTCTTGCTGCTGCCACCTGGTTTTGAGTTTCCAGAGTAAATTCCTTGTGCTCAGCTGAAAATATTGCTGGTAATCTTTATCTCCGCCGTTCTCGGGAACCGCCCGTGACCACTCTCCTTCCGCAGACGAACGCATCCTTTCCATCCTGCGCCACCAGAATTTACTGAAGGAGCTCCAAGACCTCGCTCTCCAAGGTATTTTCCAGCCGCCGCACCTGATTCTGGGTAATTCCAGTAACTGAGAGTCAGGGAACCAGGTGGAAGGTCGAGTAAGGGCCTCGCTGGCGCTGTTATTTCCTTTCAGTTGCAGAGTGGAAAAGTGGCATGCTACCTGGTTCCACCTGTCATTGATATTGTTAAAGAGATCAAGGCCCAGAGAGGTTGAGTGACTTGCCCGAGGTCACACAGTTAACAGGGACACGGGAGACGCAGCTTCCCAGTACCCCACAGCCTCTAGCGTTCAGCCCTTTCAGGGAAGCACTTCCAAGACTAGCATGCGGACAGGATTCCTTTCCTCTGTGAACGGGAAAGTGAGTTGACCACAGGGAGAGAGGAGGGGCCTCGTCCCTGGGTCTTGCCTGCCCCAAACACCGGCCAGACTTTCGATGTGCTTCAGAGTGAGGGATGTTTCCCCAGGAGATTGAGGAAATCCACGGCGCTATCGGGGGGGAGTGCAGTGAACTTAGAGGTAGTGAGCTCCTTGTCACTGGTGGCAGTCAAGCTGAGCCTGGACAGCTTGCTGGCTGGAGGGTTAGGTTGCTGTCACCCCACAGTTGGCGGCCACTCTGCCCAGCCTGCGGCCCCTTCCAGTCTTGACGTAAGGTACAAGCTGCTCTGGCAAATTGGGAAGCCGGGGTGCTGGCCTGCCCCCTGCTGACCCTTGGGGGCGGTGGCGGTGTGGACGGGGTGGTACCATTGTGCCCTCGGGCCTCTCCCTGAGAACGGCTCTCTGGCACGAGTCCCGTGTCTGCTTCCCCAGGAAGTGACGGCCCAACTTCAGGGCTGGGCTTGTGTCTGGGCTGGGCTGGGGACACGAAGGCCGCTCCGGCTCCGGGAAGGGCCCCGCTCTGAGGAACAGAGATGTGGGGAGGAGATGCGTGAAAACAGCCACAGAAATGGGATCCCTGTGGCCGTTCCTCCCTCCCTCCCCCACCAGGCAGCATGGCGGCGCATGCCCCTCCTGTGGCTGTGGGGGTGCGCCGAGTCTGGGCGGAGCCGGGGCTATTATTACCCAGGTTTTTAATGTCGTCATCATCCACCCTGGGCTGGTGTTTTTTTTTAAACTAAGCATTAAATATTTTATTTCAATATGATAATTTTAAAATTAAATATTGAATGACTAACTTATTACATTTAAATAATTAAATATCATGCCAACAGATTGTTACAGGGGCATGTGTCCTGAGACGTCTGTATGCAGACACACGTGTGTGAATCCAATATGCGTGTATATCGCTGCTTTCTATGTAAAGAGTTCAGACGTGTTTCCGTCCGTCCATCTGTCTACCCATCTGCTCCCTCCTGGGCTCCCATGACATCTTCCGCAGACCTGTCTCAGCACTCACTGTGCAGCAACCTTGTTTTAGAAATGAACAACCCAAGCTTGCAAAGCCCGAGTTGCCCAAGGTCACAGAGCTGGGAAATAACAGGAGAGGACTGGAACCCACCTGTGCCTGGGGCCAGAGCCGGGCAAGCTCCCTGGCCCGCAGCCCCCACAAATCCCATCACGGGGAAACATGGGGCCCAGCTGCGGAGCTGGTCTGGCTGAGGGCCGGCATCAGGCCCCGGGCGCAGGTGTGGGGACGGTCGGAGGAGCCGGGTGGAGTCGGGGTGCAGGGAGAGGGGCTCTGGGTCATGGCAGTATGTGCCACCGTGGGCTCAGATGCAGGTCCGGGGCTTGTCCTTCTCCCCAGGGCCTGGGCTCATAGGGTCCCAGGGCAGCAGGGGCTGCTTGAATCAAGACCCCCCCCACCCCATGAGGGGACAAGCAGTCATTGTTACCTCCTGCTGCAGGGTCCCCTGAACTGCCAGCCATGTCTTGGGGGTTCCCCACTCCTGCCCCAAGACACCCTGTTCCATTTGAGCCTTTGCTGCTCTGTGAGGCAACAGGCAGGGCTTGTGCTCATTTCCCAGGTGAGAAACTGAGTCAGGAGAGGAGGTGTGGCTGGCTGATGGCCCCCACTGAGAGGGCAGGGGTGTCAGCCCTTCCCCACTCCCTAGGCTCATGCCTCGCAGCGTCTGATTGGCCAGGCCTGGAACACGACGCACCCCATTTACAGAGGGGGAAATGGGGCCTTCGCCCTCACAGACAGATGTACCAGGGCTGGGCCACGTGGGACTTTCCCTCCTGTCCCCATCCAGGTGCCAAGGAGAGGGCGCAGCAGCAGAAGAAACACAGCAGTTTTGAGGATGAACTCTCAGAGGTGCTTGAGAACCAGAGCACCCAGGCTGAGCTGAAAGGTCAGTGCCAGCCGGTCTGGCCAGAGGCAGGGGAGGGAGGACCACAGTGAGGACAGTAGTTATGACGGATCGAGGGTTCCTGAGAGTCAGGGGCCCCTCCTGTAAGCCCTGGTAAGTAGCTGTTATTTCCTCTCTTTACAAATGGGGAAACTGAGGCGGCATGCCTGGAGACTTGAATCGGGGCTTTTCTCACTCCACAGCCCTGGGTCAGTCCCCTCTGCCCCGCACAGGGGCCGACACTCTGGGGCAGGAAGTCTCTGGCCTGGCAGGTGGGCGGCCCCAACTCTGGGTCTACCCAGTGGCCACTGCGGCAGAGCCCCTGCCACCAGCGCGTCTCTCCTGGGGTTCCGTGGTGCCTGAGATAGCCACGTAGCAGGGGGATCGGAGGGGTGGGTGTGAAACACTAAATCAACCTGGATCATCTTTCTAGAAACCAAAGAGGTTCTGGGCGTCAGAGGTCATGCTTGGGGCCACGAGATGCTCTGTGCCCATCCTCCCCGCCTGGGAAGGGCCCAGGCTGCCCTCCCAGCGCCTGCTCTCTCCATGCTGAACATGGGCAGTTAGGCCAGTTTCCAGGAGCCGGATCCCAGTGGTCTTCCATCTGGGGCTAGGAGGGAAAGCCTGCAGGTGTGGCCCAGGTGGCCCCTCGTGGCTGCTTGGGGTACTGCGTGGACCCCCACAGCAGGACTCCATGGGAAACGATCTGGATTGATTACTGATGCCTGCCATGGGCTTCAGTGGGGGATAGCGTAGCACTTGTGCTTGTGTGAATGCGCACGCGTGTGCATGCACATGCACACTCATGCACACACGCATGTGCCTGGAAGCGTTAATGGGGGAGGCAGCTGTGTGTCAGTGCAAAGAGACCCTGGACCTGGTGTCAGGGGGCTTGGGTTCAAGCTACAGACTGTGAGTGTGGACGGGTCACCGTACCTTTCTGCAGATCAGTTTACTGAGTTTCTGTGAAATGGGCATGGGAGCACCTTTCATGGGAGTCCTGGTGAAGCTCACATGGCGGAATATACTTGGCAGTGCCTTGCTCAGCGGTAATTATTCTAGCGGTGGGAGGGATGTCTACTGGTTATAAGACCATGTTCAAGGCGGCCACAAGTAAATACCTTTTAATGAATTTCTATGACTACTGAGGAATTGAACACTTTCACAGGACACTGAAGACAGAGAAACCCCACATAAGGGGAGCATGAAGTTGCAGTAATGGTGTCTCTTACACAGAGAGGTTAAGTGACTTGCCCCAGATCACACAGCAATTCAGCTGATATCTTAATTTTCAGTTCAGGGTTCTATCTTCTGTGGTAATTTTCAAGGTTTGGTTATTTTTGCGTGTGTGTGTATATATATGTGTTTAAAATCACAACCTGTTTTAAGAGGCAGAATAAAAAAGAAACACAATCCAGTTGTGCTCAAAGCAAGCCTGGACGTGGGTGGGGGTTGCCGCGGTGTTTGGGGCTGGGTTTGCTGGGAGCCAGGAGATACGGTGCCTCGGACCTGAAACTGGCGTCTGGGGGGACCGCGTGTAGCCTGGTCCTCAGGGCCTGACTGGGCTCTGCTGTCTCTGCAGGGGTGATGGAGGCGGCGCCCTCCAAGGAGGCTGCGGAGAAAAGAGGCGGTTCCGAAGAGGCCGAGAAGAGCAGTGAAGACGCGGAGGGAGCCAGGCCCCAGGCCCTCCCCGAGCCCGGGAAGGAGTCCAAGATGGAGGGGAACAGCCAGGCCCCTGGGGACGAGGAGGCCACCAACACCCAGCCCCCAGCCAGCGCCCCCAGCCAGAGGGACCCAGGCCTGCAGGCCGAGGGTGACAGGGCAGGTCCCTCTCAGGGCCTGGCGGACAGAGAGAAGGGCCTGAGTGCAGAGCACGGGCACCAGGCAAAGCCGGAGGAGGAGGAGGAAGAAGAGGAGGAGAAGGAGGAAGAGGCTAGGGAGGAGCCTGTCACTCCTTTCCAGGTCATCGAAGGCCCCACGACAGCACTCAGCCCATACCTCGGCCACGGGGAGGCCCAGAAAGGTGAGAGTACATACGACTGTCAACAAAGGCGTCTGGGAGGGTGACTTTATCCGTAATCTCATTCTACTTTCATAGTAACCCTGAAAGGCAGATATTATCTCCATTTAATAGACAGGCAACTGAGGCTCAGAGAGGTTACTTTGCCCAGGGTCACGCGGCTGATTTGTAGCAAAAGCTGAGCTTCCAGCCCAGGTTCCTCTGACTCCCAAACCATGCGTTTCCCACTATTCCACCCAGGAGGCGAGCGGGCGTGGCGGGGTGTGTAAGCGGGCGGGCTTTGGGAACAGAGACAGCAGGACAGGCGGGCACAGGCTGATCTGGGGACAGTGTCAGCTTCAACTAGGGCTTAAGAGAGGCCCTGGCTCCTTGTGAGGCCCTTGTCAGCGTTTTCCCTCACTCCCCGGGCCAGGCCAGGGCCCTCTGTGGTGAGGGGCTAGAGGAAGAGGTAGGCTCTGGTCAGCCCACCCCTTCAGGCTTTGAGAGGGTCTTGCGAAGCCCGGCAAGACAGAAGGCTTTTCCCTCCAAGTGGAGTCGCTGTGGAGGCTGGGCCGGGCTCCAAGAGCCGAGGTCTGTGGCCCTAAAGGTGGTCACAGCAGAGGCCCCCAGGGAGTGGCAGAGACGGGAAAATGGCGCTCCCTCCCTCATTCTGCTCTTGCCCACCACCTGCTCCAGGTCGGTCGGAGGCTCTGGCCGTGGATGCAGCCGGGAGGCCTGGGGCTGAGGAGGCTCGGCCCCTGCGGGGGCAGGGAGGGCAGGAGCACTCCCGGCAGCAGCAGGAGGAGGAAGAGGAGGAGGAGGAGGAGATGGCAGGGGCCCCTCGAGGCCTCTTCCGGGGCGGGAAGAACGGGCAGCTGGAGCAGGAGCAGGAGGAGGAGCGGCTCTCCAAGGAGTGGGAGGACGCCAAGCGCTGGAGCAAGATGGACCAGCTGGCCAAGGAGCTGACGGCCGAGAAGCGGCTGGAGCGGGAGGACGAGGAGGGCAGCCCTGACCGCTCCATGAAGCTGCCCTTGCGGGCCCGGGCCTACGGCGTCAGGGACCCTGGGCCGCAGCTGCGACGAGCCTGGAGGCCGTCCTCCCGGGAGGACAGCGTCGAGGCGGGCCTGCCCCTCCAGGTCCACGGCTACCCCGAGGAGAAGAAAGAGGAGGAGGGCAGCGCCAACCGCAGACCAGAGGTTGGTAGCGGGCAGGGCCTGGCCCCGGGAGCGTGGGCCCCGCCGGGGGGCGGCTGCACCCAGGTGTGCAGTTCTGCCCCACGGAGGGGACACAGTCCCCTTGGAGTCTGGGACTGGAGAGGCGCTCAGACGGGGGGCTCTCGGGGCAGGAGAAAGCACCCCGCTCACAGACAGGAATGTTCAGAGAGACCTGTGGTGACGGGAGGGGTGCTTGTGGTCCCGAAGGCATAGGAGCCTCTGCAGGTTCGAGAGCAGGACGTGGGAGTGACGGGTGGAGCCGGGTGCTTTGGGTGCAGAGAGCTTGGGAACAAACGGCCTGGCAGGACTGGCCTGGGCGGGCGAGAGGACACACTAAGGGACAGGTCATGGCCATGCCCCCAGACAGCCCAGGCACGCCCCCTCCCAGGTTCAGGCCCTGCATCCAGCATAGGTGGCAAAGGAGGGGAGGGGCCAGCTACACCCCAGAGCTTTGGGGAGCAGGTAGGAGAAGCTGGGACATAAGCCAGACCTGGGCTGTGCTTCCTCCCACATCTGTGACCTTAGGTGGGTCACTTACCTCCTCTGAGCCTCACCAGTTCCCCCACTTATGAAATAGGAGCCAGGAGTCCTTTCTGCACTCCTCGTTGTCATGATTAGAACACTCATGAGCTTTGAAAACCTGGCCACAGCCAGGGCCACTGGGGAAGCTGAGGGGTGCGGGGATGCAGGAGGGGTGCGGGGAGTTGGGCTCCTGGCAGGTGGTGCCACCACCTTGAAGCTGGGGGAGGCTGTGGGGGCACCTGGCTCAAGCCTCAGGGACCATGTGTGAATTGGGGCTCTATGGGGGGCTGATACCTGTCCACAACTGTGACCCCAAGGCTCTTCTCTGCCCACCCAGAAGAGGATATAGCCCTTTCTTTGGGCCCCAACCCTCTTTCTGGGCTTGGCAGTCTGAGAGGAGGAGGGCTCCTCCTTGGCAGCTGGCGCGGGAGAGGGCATCTGCCCAGGTCCCCGGAAGACTGAGGGGAGGGGCCACGGGAAACTGCAGCTCACCCCCACCCCAGCCTCGGGACCCAGCATGAGGTGGGCACCCTTGAGCACCCGTCCCTGCCCCTAGAAGCTGAGAGAATGAGGTACCAGAGGCACCTGCCAGCTTCCCTGTTCCACAAGCAGCAGGAGCCCCAGACGGCAGGGTGGAGAAATGGAGACCCCAAAGCCACATGCACAGGGTGGATGGGGGCCTCCTCCACCCAGCCCAAGGGCTTCCTGAGCAGCCCCAGCACCACAGAACTCGTGCCCCAGGGGCTGCTCCTCGGTGCAGGGCTCTGGAGTCCCTGTTTCCATGGCCGTCCATTGTCAGTGTCTGCATCCACCGGCTGGCGTGTCCTTAGCAGCCTTGGATCCAACAGGGACCCCAGGAAGATGACCCCTCCTAGGTCAAGGCCAGGGAGGCAGCCTTCCCTGAGCTCCGGCTTTGAGTCTGAGGGTATGCTGTCGCGGGTGTCCAAGCTCCAGGGGCCCTGGAAGCTTCTGGAGACTGGGGCACAGAGTAGGGCTCAGAGGAGGGTCCCCTGCTTCCCTGACCCAGCCTGGCAGCCGGAGCCTAAGATCCCCCCAAGATCAGGACCAAGGATCGAGGTCCAGCCCCAGGCAGGCTGACACGGGGCAGTGCTCACAGCGTCCAGCCTGGCCAGAGGCCCCGAGGCCCCCTCGGGTGGGGAGCTGCTGCAGACAGACCCGGAACCCAGGCCTGGCCTCCGCCTGGGAGCTGCCACCCAGATCCAGGCTGGGGCGGGAGCTTCGTGTTCCATGTACCTTCACAGGACAGACTCCCACCTGTAGGAAGTAGGAGGAAGTAGGGCCTGGATAAGAGGCCACCCGCGACAGTGTGGGGACAGGGCCCCCTGCATCAGCCACCTTGTGCATAATAATCCCGAGAGACAGCCCAGAAGGATGGTGTCATTGTCCCCATATGATTGAGGTCCCTGAGGCTCAGAGGGGCAAAGCCACCTGTCTGAGGCCACACCAGTTACCTGGTGGCCCAGCTGTCTGGCTGACTGTACCCTGCATGCCACTGGTGCAAGTCAGGTCCTGGGGCTCCCTGTGCTGGCCCCGAGTGACCCTGATCTTCTCTCCTAGGACCAGGAGTTGGAGAGCCTATCGGCCATTGAGGCGGAGCTGGAGAAGGTGGCCCGTGAGCTGCAGGCGCTGCGGCGGGGCTGAGGGGCCCCAGGTGCCCTGTGGTCCTGGCCCTACTCCCCACTGCAGGCCCTGGCCACACAGCCCAGGCGCTGCCTCCAGTAGGGAGGTGGCCTGCAGCCCGCCCAAGCCCAGGCCACCCTGCTACCCCATGCTCCCGTTCCCCTGCTCTCGACCCTGCCCCGGAACCCCCTCTGCAGGGCGGACCCCCATGACTTTAAACATCGATTATTCCTTCTCTCAACACAGGCAGCTTTCTAGAAGTTTCCCTTCCAACATCATATCCACTGGGCACAACTGCAATAACTTCTGACCTTTTGGTGAAAGCTGAGAACTCCTAACTGTAATATATCCTGTATAAAATTTATCTAAGGAAAAATAAATCCGTTCTGGGCTCTTTCCTTTTAGAATTTTTTCCCCCCTCTCAACTCAGAGTGGGTGGGTTATATTAGATTTGGGGCGACTCCTTTCTGGGCGACTTCCTAGCCATGGGATGTTGGGCAAGTGACTTTGTACCCGAGCCTTGATCCCTCATCTGTAAAATGGGGACGCTGGCCTGCCACAAAGGGTGCGTGGGACCGAACAACACATGCGAAGGGGTCCCTTCCTCTCCCCAATACCCCACCAAGAGCGCAGAGTGCCGGCTGGGATGTGGGAACTGGGGCTCGGGCTCTGTCTGGCGGGTCTGGGCAGGCAGGTTCAGCCGCAAGGACCCGGGTTTGACCTCCCACTGGGGCTGGAATCCCCAGCCTCGCCATCAACTAGTGGGAGAGTTTGCACAGCTGTTTCTGGCCCTCCCAGGGCCTCAGTTTCCTCATCCACAAAATGGGGACAATACTTATAGTTCTTTATCAGACTGTGGTGAGGGTCGGAGGGGCCCAGTGTGGACCAGGAAACATAGTATTATTAATAAAACAACATACTATTATTAATGCTATGACAACACAAGTTGTTAGAGGATTCTTGGCAAATCTGGGTCTCTCTGCTGAGGCCGGGCTGTGCCTGCCGCCGTCACTGCCCCTGGTGTCCTGAGGGACCCGTCTGTACGGCTGGGGCTGCGAGGTGCTTATTTCTTCGCATGTTCAGAGAGAAGTTTACACTCCACCCTCGCCAGTTATAGAAATAAACCCAACACCCGCTGTATGCCACTAGACGGAATTCAAAACATCTGCTACCAAGATAGTAGAGAGGACATGGGGACGCCTTGTCCCGGAAACAACCATCCCAAGGACGAGCCACCTGCAGTGTCCTAGTCACATGGAGTAGACATAGCCAAGTGAGAAGAGCCAGTGGACAGGAGCCATGATTTTGCAGGCAGTACGTGTAGTGGCGCGTGTTACATGTGTGTCTGTACACAAACCAGCTTGGGATTCTGGCGAAGCTGCTCGTGGACAGGGCTGAAGGAAACAGCACCTGTCACAAAACACAGGTGTCGCCATTAACGGCAATGTCCTAGGAAAATCCCTCTGCGAGTTCAAGAGTGAGCTTCAGAGAGTTGCGACTGCACACACAGCCCTGCAGGAAGGGGTCGGGCCGGCTGTGGGAGGGGGCAGTCCCTCCAGAAGTAGAGAGAAAATGCAATATTCCTGAAAAAGGCCAGGGTGTTGTGGGCGGGTCCTGCAGAACCAGCAGGAAGAGGAGCCAGCCGGCAGCCCACGCCGGCCACGCCCCAGCTCCCTCTGAATGAACAGAGTGCGGGAGAGGGGGTCACTCCAAGCCCATGCTGGCAATGGCTGTGCAGACAGAAGGGCCAAAGTCACAGGCACATTGTCACACACGCAGGACCCATGGGAGAAGGCGCAGGCCTGGGCAGGGCAGGGGGCATCAGGGCACAACAGAGGCCCAGAGCCTTTGTCCAGGATTGCTGTGTGGTCACCTGTCCTTCCGGGCTGCCAGCGCCCAGCTCAAGGTCTCTGGAGTTGACAGGGGCCTGAGAGCCGCAGCACAGGAAGCAGAGGCGCTGCTGGGCCAACGATCGGTTCCCAGGGAGCAGGAGAGAGGGCAGTCACAAACCCCAGGGACATCAGCGAAACCACTCGATGGCTCTCTGTGGCTAGCAGTCCATCTGAGTGACCAAGAGCCAAGGACTGGTCTTCCAGGTTGGGAGGACAAAGGACCCGCCATCTCCCTTGGCCTCAGAGGGGCTGTTGGGCAAACACGAGCCGCTTTTCTCTTTCTTTCCTAGCTAGTTCTTGGGTGAGTAGAGCTGCTTTTCTCAATTGGCTCAAAAACCAGACAGCTTCCTCCTAGGGCCTTCCCCCTTCCATAAAGCCTGCGCGGCAGGCCCCTGGGTGGAGGGGACGCCTTTGCAAGGCTGCGTTCTCTTTCATTGGCGGAGTAAGACACAGGCCGCCCCATGCACACGACGCCCCAAAGCCCCCCGTGGGCTTCAGCTGGGTGACTGCAGGCCCAGCCCTACACATGACGCACAGCAAACCTAGACACTCTGGGACACCGAGCCCCTGCTCCAGGACAGACACACAGCAGCTGGCACTCGGTGGGGTGTCATGTTTGCAGAATGTCATGTTTGCATCCCGAGAGACAGCCCAGCAGGATGGTGTCATCGTCCCCATGATTGAGGTCCCTGAGGCTCAGAGGGGCAAAGCCACCTGTCTGAGGCCACACCAGCTACCTGGTGGCCCAGCTGTCTGGCTGACTGTACCCTGCATGCCACTGGCGCAAGTCAGATACCATCAAAGCATCCTCAGGCAGAACCTGACCCCAGGCTGTGGCTCCAGGGAGCCCCTCTGAAGCCACCCCAAGCCTCAGGCAAAGTGCAGCCCTGCCCCTTGCTCCTGGAGCCCTTCCGCCCCCTGCCCACTGCCCACCTGGACACAGCTGCAGGGCCACAGAGCCAGCGTGCTGCCAACTCGGAAATGGAAGCCTTTCCGTGAGAGTCCCAGCTCCACCACGACACTGGCAGGGCCAACTCGAGGCGCCACCATGCAACATCCTCGGCTTAGCAGGTTGTTCCCACTCAGGAGGCAGCACCGCATGCCCTGGGAAAGGGGTGGCTGCCAGGGCCCAGCTCAAGGCCGAGACAACGAGGCCTAAGGGGAAACCAGGTCCACAGATGCTGTTGGGACCAGAAAAGGTTAGTATGCCCCCGGGGCATGCGGAGCGGTCGCTCACCCTGGCTGCCGAGGCCGGCTCTGGGGGTGGCAGTCGCCTCACCTCTGTTCACAGCCCCCCTCTGCCCCATGCCCCCGTCGGTGGTGGATGGTGCCCGCAGCCTGGACGGGCCCTGGGCGCCGGCTGCTGCTCCACCGCCTCGAGGCTCCCAGGCCTTCAGGAGGCAAAAGCCCACCCCCAGTCCCCACTCCCGGAAATGTAAGTCCCCGCACGTCAACAGCAGGCGGGCAGTGGTTGTCCTGCAGGCCCTGGCGAGGTACACACCAGACAGGAACACGACACGGCCGGGAGTCACGCCGCACACCCCAGCAGTCTGAGGCAATTCGGGAGTGGCATTTTATTTTTAAAAGGTAAAGCTGTTTTATTAAACATCTTTTAGGGACTGGGAGAAAGACATAACAAACTCGAGCGACACTCTGTAAACACGTGTGTGAAATGCAGTTTGATTCAGTAGTTTATTTGGAGACGAAGCAGTGCGAGAGGCCGGCCGCGCTCTCCCGCTCCCTGGCCGGGCTCGAACTGGGAAAGGCGGCGCAGACATCAGTCGGGGCTCAACACTCGAATCCTGTAAACGTGGTTGGTCGTCTGGCCCCCCCGTTTCCAAAAGAGCTGGGCAGGTCTGACGGCCCGTCCGCACCGGGCCCAGCCCTCTTTTCTCAAAGGGGGCGCCCCACGGCCCGCTCGGCCAGGCGGCAGCCTCTCTGGGGCACCGCTCTCCCTCCGGTGTCCTGTCTCACCGGACGCCACAGGACAGCCCAGAAGCTGTTTCTTTTTCAAAGTGAACTGGTAGTTTAAGACTCAAAACCATGCTCAGGGCACCTATGCACCGCACCCAGCGTCCCCATCTGCTCCCTGTGGAGGAGGCTGCTGGGCCGCCCAGAACCCGGGGTCAGATGGGGGGAGCCGGGGCTTTGCTGCCATGGCGACGGGACAGCCCACAGTGTGGGAGGGGCAGCCCCCTGGTACCTGGCTGGCTCAGTGCTCGGGGCCTGCTGGGTGGGGGGACGGGCCAGTGTGAACAGGAGTGAACTGTACGGGTGGCCTCCCCTGCCAGGAAAGAGGCCCCCAATCCCTCCAGCGCCAAGCAGAGGCTCCGTGCCCGTCCTCACTGGATGACCTCGTGGAGAAGCGGGGCGCAGCCAGGGTCAGAGCACTTCAGGGTTCCCGGGGCCCAAATGCCCACCAGCGACCAGGAGACGAAGGCCTGAAGACTCTCGGAATGATTTGCCCCAAGTCACAGCACAAATCCTTGGCACAGGTGTGGAATCGGCCCAGGCCCCACGCAGGCCGCCTCCTTTCTGGGGTCAGGGGTGAGGAAGCGCAGGGCCGGGGCAGGAGGCCCCGTGCAGGGTGCGCTGGGGCGTGAAGAGCGGCAACAGCCAGGCCCCCGCCCACGGGAAGCCCCTTTCCCGTCACAGCAGGTGCAGCACGGCCGGCCCAGCCCCCCAGGGGCTCTCGGGAGGGAGGACGGGTGGGCGAGCTGCACACCTGGCGGGGTGGGGCTCACAGAGCAGGAGACCAGCTGAGGGACACAAGGAAGGGGCGGGTCTGGGTGCGGGAGTCCTGGGGGTACTGCTCACTCGCGCTCCTCAGCCACAACAGCCTGGCCAGGCCCCTCCAGGGTCCCCAGCGGCCACGGAGACCGACAGACATGGCTGCGCACACACGCTGGCACGGCAACCACATGCACACGGGAACACCGCACACCCAGACCTAGTGTTGAGAACACGAGCGTGTAAACGCAGTGGGGAGACCTGAGCTGCAGGAATCGGGCGGGACGCTCCTTCTCTGCAAGGCTGGACCACGTGTTGTTCTTCTCCATCTTCCCCCACCCCTCGTTTAGATCATGACATCAGAAAATCAGGTTAAAAATTAAGAAAAAGAATCAGATCGTTGGGAACTCTTAGTAGCAGCTGCTTGCCCGGCGGGTGTGCCCCGCGCCGCCCCTCTGGGTCCCGGCTCCGCGGCTACTGGGAGGAGGCCTTGGTGGCCAGGGAGGCCGCGCAGTGCTGCTGGAAGCTGGGCGACATGCCCGCCGTGCAGCCGAGTCTCTGGTGCGGCAGCTTGGCGGTGCCCCCCGCGTCGGCCTCGGCCTTCCAAGGCGCCTCCTCGCCCGCCATGCTGCCGCAGCAGCCGGGGCTGGCGCTGCACGTCCGCTCGCCGGCCAGGCCGCCCGCCGGCTCGACCAGGGCCTTGCTGTGCCTCGGTGGGGCCACGTCCCCTGCGGCTGCCGTGGCTGCGCTCTGGCCCTGCAGGATGGTTGCGATGTGGTTCAGGAGGTCTGTGAAGAACTCGCTCACGCCCTCGTAGCCTGGTGGGAGAGACAGACAGCACGGGGCGTTACGGGCCGCTACGGGGTGTCGTGGGCAGGAGGAAGCGGAAGCAGTGGGCTCCCGCGAGGGTCGCTCTCAGGATCCCATTCACACGGCACACGAGGGCTCGGTGGACAGGCGGGCTGTGGGATGCCACACGGCCTGCACTCACAACTGCGCACACGTGGCCCCAAGGGCTGGTCCCTCACCTTTGGCTGCCCCCAGCAGCACCCAGTGACCCTAACCCTCTCAGACACGGCCCCATCGTCCCTCCCACCCACCGAGGTAAGAGCCAGTACTCGGGTGGGGGATACTGGCATGCTGGAGTAGCAGTGCCAAGCCCGCTCCACATGCTCTGAATAATAGACACCCTGGACTCCATATGACCCAGCCAAGCCTGGCCCCGGCTGAGTCCTGGAGACGGCATCCATCCTGAGCCTCTGCCCCGGGTCTGCAAACCGAGGAAGACACCACCACTCGGACAGAGGAAGACACCGCCGCTCGGACAGAGGAAGACACCGCCGCTCGGACAGAGGAAGACACCGCCGCTCGGACAGGAGGAGACACCGCTCCGTCGGACAGGAGGAAGACCACGCCGCCGATCGGACGAGGAAGACACGCCGCTCGGACAGAGGAAGACACCGCCGGCTCGGAGCCAGGAGGAAGACACCGCGCGCTGCGGACAGAGGAGACACCGCGCTAGCGGACACAGGGATGACACCGCGGCTCGGACAGAGGAAGACACCGCCGCTCGGACAGAGGAAGACACCGCCGCTCGGACAGAGGAAGACACCGCCGCTCGGACAGAGGAAGACACCGCCGCTGGGACAGAGGAAGACACCGCCGCTGGGACAGAGGAAGACACCGCCGCTCGGACAGAGGAAGACACCGCCGCTCGGACAGAGGAAGACACCGCCGCTCGGACAGAGGAAGACACCGCCGCTCGGACAGAGGAAGTCACCACCACTCGGACAGAGGATGACACCACCGCTGGGACAGAGGCTGTGGAAGCCACCACTGGGAGGGCTGGGACTTGGGCATTGCCTGCTCCACCAGCAGCTGCTTGCCCCTCTCGCCCCCAATACCTGCAGGGAGGCCGCCTGTGCCCCACGCTAAGGTTCAAGGTCCTGGGGCAGAGGCGCTGGGCACCACCCACAGGGCCAAGGCCTGCGACAAGGCCCCACTGTTACCGGAACACAGGGCCCCTGACCAGGGTGTTGGCCGTGGGGCCTGCCAGGGGGAATGCTCCCCAGCAGACACAAATGGCGGCAGAATCCTTGGGAGCTCGCCAGCAGGTGGCCGGGATGCAGCGTGAGGCTTTGCTGACGCCCAGCAAACTGCTCCAAAAGAGACTCGACACAGGGTGAGTGCCCCCACCTGCCTGAGCCAACGTGGGGGGTCGGGAGGTTACTGCAACCTTGCACCTCCCATGTGATGACGTTCACAGCCAGCAGAGGAAGTGGGGGTGGGAACGCAGGGCAGACGTGGCACCCTTCCTCGCCTACGGAAAAGCCCTGCAGGGCGTGCCCGGGGCGAGGCTGGCGGGTCCATCCACACCCTCAGCCATTTGGCAAACAGCTGCTGTGGTTTCAGGGAGCCCAAGTCCGAGCGGGGTGCCCACAGTGAGAATAAAGATGGCTACACGAGATGGCACGTGTGCCTCCCTGTGATCACACCACAGTCCCCCGCTTGGTCTTCACGGCTCCGTCCCCGTCTCACAGACGGCATGGCTGCCGAGTGTCACAAAGCTCCCGCGTGGCAGTGCTAGACCTGAACCAGGCCCCATGGGCCTGTCTGTGCCTTGACTACCACCTAGCGCCAGGTGCCCCTTTGTAGGACGGCGGCCCTGGGGTGGGGGTGGAAGGTAGGGCAGAGCCGGGCCTGAGCCCTGGGGCCCATGGGCGCAGCCACCAGGTGCCTGGGGAGACGTGGCAGGGGAGGTGCTGCGCTCCACCCCGTCAGCGCCAGGGAGGAGGAAGCCATTCCTAAGCAACCACCCTGCCGCGTCCCCAGACACGGCCCGAGGCCCCAGCGGGGCGTGTGCTTTCTGGGGGGTGTGGAGGCCGCCACCACTGCACGGCCAGGGGAAGGCTGGTGTCCGTCGGCCTGGGGCAGCAGATTGAGGAATGAACTAGCAGGGCAGGGGCCTCCTCTGAGCCAGGACTGTGCGAATACCACCTCCTGTCTATGGGGTGGGAGTTTGTTCCCACTATGCAGAAGTGAACACTGAGGCTGCAAAATGAGGTGGCTTGTGCCATCACAGACAGTAAAGAATTGGAGCCTGCAGCTGGTGCTGAGGGTCGGGGCCCCACTCTGCTCTGTGTGACCCTGGACAGGGCACTGGACTCCCAGCCTCACATCCTCATCGGTGAGCAGAGGTTCACCAGCAGCCCTTCCCACACCACTGTTGTGAGGACAACACCCGCCAGCAGCGGCAGCTCAGCCCTCGGAGCAGGCCTGGCTCACAGAGGCGGCCCCAACACTTGTGCTGCTATTCCCAGAGTGCAGGTGCTGCTGCACACCTGTGGCCCCGAGGCGGCCTCCTATGGGACCAGCAAGAGGACCAGGCCCAGCCCTCTGCTTGGCCCCGACAGTGCTGTAACCAAGGCTGGCAAACCAAGCTGCCTCCCAGACGCGTCTCCTCCCTGCATGGGCCGGCCGACACACACGCCCCGGGCCTCCCCTCGCAGCATCGGCCTCACCAGCACCCCTGGGCTCAGCCTGAGCCCCCTGGATGCCCGGCCCCATTTGGGTGGCCCTTCTCTTGGCTTCCCTGGAAGAAGCCTCCCCATCCTCCTCCGCACCCCAGATCACCCTCGGGCCCTGCTCCACATAGGTGTTTGTGTCGGGAGGGAACAGCCCTGCTCAGGGACTAAGCTTCCCCCCTCCCATGTGACCCTCCAGCCTGCTGCCACTGCCACCCTTTCACTGTGCCACCCCCACGTGGTTTAGGGCCCCAGGTTCGTTGTTCTGACGGTTCTCAATGCTCCTTGCTCCCCTGCGCCCCCATTCCCACACCACACATGGAACCCCACCTCCGGCTGAACCCACAGCTCCCTCCATGCTACACCTGGGGACTGGAGAAAAATAGATGATTGTCCCACAGGTCTGGCCTGTCCATGGACGCAGACCTCACCTCGCCCAGGGTGGGACCCAGCGTCCTCAGCTGGTCACAGGAGGTCCCTCTGTGCGGCCACCCTCCTGCCCCCCAGCTGCACCCACTATAGCCACAGAGCCCCATAGCCCGGGAGCCACCACTCCATCCCCAGCAAGGGCCCCTCCCCTTCCCGCTGGGCCCGGCTCCAGTGTCACTGCCTCTTGCAGGAGCCCCTGGTAACCCATTTTGTTCTCTGGCTCCTCCCAACTAGGGCCAGAGCTCTCCAAGGGCAGGGCCTGGGCAGCCGAGCTCACGCTCAGCCCTTGAATGAACAGCAGAAGGAGCCAGTGGGCTCTGCGTCATCGGCTGTGAGGCGTGGTGACTACACTGCCTTGAACACTCTCTGAGGAGCGGAGGGGACACGTGTGTCACGCACCCAGCCTCTGCGTGGGGCCTGTGAGCTGCACATGCCCCCAAGCAGTCCCCACCTGCCAGGTGCAGTCTCTGGTACTCAGTCAAGGTTGGAATCAAGAACAAAAGGGAGGAAGATGCCTCTCGGGGCGCAGACGGCCGTGGAACGAGCGCTGGAGCTCTGTTCTGGGCACGTGTGATGCGGGGCCGGCCCTGGCCTCCACGCTGCTGTGGGAGGTGACCCGCTGTCGAGACCCCATGTCTCGGGTGCAGCACTCGGGCTGGTGAGCAGCGGCTGCAGACGCCACCACTGTCGCCTGACAGACCCGCGTCAGGGCTTATGGTGCCGTCTCCCGCTGCTGAGATCTGGCTCTGTGCCAGCGGGTTCCTGGGGCCCCGGCAGGGAGCAGGAATCAGGTGCCACTGCATGGGGACCCCTCCCAAGCCTGTCCCCAGCACAACCACTCAGCGCAGTGGAAGGAGGCCGTGCCTGCGGGTCTCTGGCTCTGCCACCAACGCACTGTGGGGCCTAGGACAGCTTCTTCCTTTCTGGGGGCCTCAGTTTCCCTACATGTCAACTTGGGAAGGGGGGTCGTATTCCCTTCAAGGTCCTTCTAGTTCCTTAAACCCGAAAAGGCCAAAGGGATGGAGAGTTTGGCCAACAAAGGCTGATGCCGGTGATGGCGCAGGGGTGAGAGAAGAGGCGGAAGAATGTGTATGTCGCAGGCCCTCTCACGCCCTGCGAGCTCGCCGGGCTGGACGCACGGACATCCTGGCTCCCTGCCACAGCCCGCGACCACAGCTCACACGTGCGGGTGGGGCCCGGCAGGGCTGCACTCGCCCCAGACCCCACGGGAGGGATGCAGCTGGCTTTCAGGAGGCCCGGCTGCCGTCACCGGGGACACTGGTCTCCTCACCTGGAAAGGCGTTGATGTCGATGACGGCGTGCTGCCCCGTCTGGTTGTTGATGATGATGTCGATGCCGAAGAGCGACACGCCCAGCGCCTGCCGAAGGGCCCGGGAGAGCTCCCGGATGACCTCGTCGCTCGGCCGCTCGAACACGCCCTCGATCTTGTCCAGCTGCCGACAGACAGGGAGGTCAGGCTGTGGGCAGAGGCGGCTCAGGCGACACCGCACACAGACTCCGCCACGAGGCCCGGCGTCCTCCCGGCCAGGCGGCAGGACAGACAGGTTGGTCCTGCCGCAGGAAGCTCTGCCCGAGGCGCTAGGAGTGCGACGCGATCTCCCCCCAGGCCCCCTGGAAGGCCAGTGTCGCGTCAGCGCCTCTGACACAGGGACTGAGACTCAGGGAGGTTGGCGGCTGCTCCAGGGTCACACGGCTCAAAAGCACAGGGCTAGATTTAGACTCCTACTTTTCAGCCTCTAAGACCCAGCCCTCTCAGCAGGGAGGAAGGACTCGGGGAGTCTGTTGCGGCCCCGGCAGACAGCACTGGAGCCGGACCTTGCAGGCAGGAGGGTCTGGGCCGTGGTCAGGGTGGGAGAAGGGAGAGCCCAGCAGAGGCAAAGGTGGGAGGCAGAAGCTGCAGGAGACAAGTGGGAGAGGCTGGGGTGCAGGGTCAGGGCAGAGGGGTGTTCTGATAAGCACCTCACTTGCCCAGCATTGCAGAGAGCCTCGGGGCATGGGGTCAAGGGCTCTGGGCCAGACACGCCATCTTCCTCCCCAACAAGTGGCCAACTATGGTGTCTCCAAACTAACTCACATCCCACGAAACATTGGTTTCCCCAAAGAGGCTGCTCCGCTGCTCCCGCCTGACCCCTGGGATCCAAGTTCAGTTTTCCGCAAAGCTTCCAAAGGGCTGATGGGCTGTCCCAGCCCGCAGTTCTCCCACCCACTCAGCCCTGGACTCCCCCCACCCTGCTCAATTCCTGCTCTAGTCACCACTGGCCTGGAACTGGCACACACATCTTCACATGCTCAGGCTTAGCCCCCAGCCAGGGCCGGAGAGGAAGTGGAAGGAATTGCACTGGGAAGGATTCCGGAGTTACGGAGATGTGGATTCAAATCCTGCAGCGACTTCCTAGCTCCATAAACTCAGGGAAAAGCACTCAGCCTCTGTGTTTCAGTCTGCTCATCTGTAAAATGGGACCAACAAGCCTCCACCCCAGGTTGTTGACATGGTGGGCAAGCACAGGCCTGGCCAGGAGGAGGGGCTGCAGCTGGACTCTACGGCAGGGACTGTGCCGTGTCATCTTCAAGTCAGCGCCCACACAGTAGGTGCTCGATAAATACCGGAGTTCTGGGGCTGTGGGCGTAGGGGCCAAAGGGGAGGAGGGGTGGAGAGAGGTGACTGGTCCGTGGAAGGTCAGAGTGAAGCTGGGTCAAAAAATTAAACAAAAATTGCCATTTCACCTGGCAATCCCAGTCCTAGGTCCACACCCGTGAGATGTAAACACGACTCAGACACATGCTTGCCCCCCACGTTCACCGCAGCTCTGTCTGTTCACGGAAGCCAATCGGTGAGAACGACGACTGCCCATCAAGACAGATGGATAAACAAGTTGTGGTCTATCCACACAACGGAATATCGCTCAGCCTTGGGAAGGAATGAAATTCTGCATATGCTACAATGTGGGTGAGCTTTGAACACATCATGCCGAGCGAAGGAACCCAGACACGAAAGGCCACGCACTGCACGATTCCATTCACATGAAACATCCAGAATAGGTATGGCCAAAGAGACAGAACCCAGCTCAGGGGGTGCCGGGGGCTGGGGCAATGGGAATGCCACAGGCACGGGGTTTTCTTCCAGGTGATGAAATGTCTTGGAACTAGACAGAAGTGGTGGCTGGAAAACACCGCGCGTGTTCTGAATACCACTGAACCGTCCACTTTAGGATGGTCAATTTTATGTATGTGAATTCCACCTCAACTTAAAAAAGTGAAGCTGGGTCAGGAGGGCTGGGGACCCCCCTGCACACAAACAGAGGGGGACCACCAGGAACCTCCAGACAGGTGCTGAGCAGGGACACACGCCCGGGCACCAGCTCAGCAGAGTGGGCGGGGCCCTCTGGCCCACACCCCTGATGTCTCGCTGGGGGGAACGCTTTCTAATCAGCACAGGTGGCCCGGCCGCTGTAGGCACTGCCCACTTAGGGTAGACAGGCATTGTCCTGTCCGCACTGCGTGCCCCAGGCCACACTGTAACCCTTCTGGGCCTTATTTTCTCACCCCAATAAACGGGGCAATAAAAATACCTCTGCGGCGAGATTCTGGTGAGGACTAAGGAGCTGACGCCCGGGGTTCACCGCGCAGGGTGTGGCAGCAGGACGGCTCGCTGCCCGTCACAGCATCTCATGACACGCTGTTCGTAAAGGCACTCTCAGCTCCGCTAAGGAATCTCGCAAACCCTCCTGAAGCCGCTTGATTATCTCAAACCAAACAGCCACCCTAGGACAAGACAAAGGCTTGAACATCCTGCCGGTGGATCCTACACACATGCTGGGACGATGTCCTAGGAAACCAGGAGGCGGCGGCGGCTGGGAAGGTGCTCAAGTGGACCCTGAGCGCCTTCGCCTCCGGGCACTGCTGACACCAAGTGCCACCGCACACTGGGCATACTGGTGGCATGTTTCGCCCAGGAACTCACCGAATCCCACGGACGCCCTCTGGGGCAGGATGAGGAAACCGAGGCTCAGAGAGGTGACGTGAGCAGCCTTAGCTTGGTGGGACCCCAGGCATCCTGCCAGAGTCCCTGCTCTCGCTCAATACCCTATGCTGGCTTCCTAAGAGTAAACGGTGTTCGGGGCCTGTGAGTTGGGGTGGGGCTGGGTCCACCCTTGGGGTGTCTGGCTCGGGAGCGAGGGCGGCTTCAAGGTCACAGCAGGGGGCCGGCACAGGGCGCCCAGGAAGGCCAAGTTGGGGACTGGAGGAGCCCCAATGGGCAGAAGGTGAGTGGATGAGTAAGAAGCGTGTTCCCGTACCTGGGACCAGAGCTGGCTGTGTCAGGCCAGCCGGCCTGCGGGCGGGACGAGTGGAAAAGGCGTTTCCCTTTTCTGTTTTTAACAGTTGTCAGTCCTGGCAGATTCCTGACTAGCAGCCGTGTGCCAAGGGGAAGGAGGAGATAACTGCAGCCCTTAGAGGTGGAGGGCAGAGCCTTGCAGAGTCTCTAGGCCACCCCCTTCCCATTTTATAGATGGGGAAACTGAGGCCAAGCAGTCAACAGGAGATAATCCAAGAGAGTGACTTCCGGGCGGCTCACTCTGTTCACGGCCCTCACAGTGTCCTGCTGGCACCGGTGAGCAGGCCCACTGCTGGCACCCCACGCTGTGCGAGGGGTGTGAATGCCGACCCCTCCGCCACGGCGGCTGGGCAAGGCCCTGAGAACCCTGCAGGGAAGAAGCCCCGAAGAGTCTGAAGCTTAGGAGGAAACCTCTTCGTGCACAGAACACCCACGTACACCTCACGGGGTGCACAGCCAGGCACGGGGAGGTTCCGTTTGAAATCGGTTGTTCCAGAGTTCTCCTGACTTGCTCCTGAGGGGCATCCATCGACACCTTGGGGCCGGTGGTGTTCCCTCCAGGTCCCTGTCCATGCCTGTGCTCTGCCCGACCCTCAGCACACAGCTGGCCCCTCAGCGGCACCAGGACACGGGCAACAGGGACGGGCCGCCTGGCCTGGGCAGCAGCACGAGGCGAGCGTGGGCCTCGACGAGGGGCTCAGAGGGCTGAGGCTGGGCGAGGGGACTGCTGTGGCTGTGGCTCTGGCTGGCGAGGCCGCCCAGGACAGGGAGGAGGACACAGCGAAGCCTCCCGGAAGAGCCAGAATGGACACAAGCTTGGGAGCAGCAGTCCTGGCAGGGGGCTCCAAGTCCAGGGAAGTGGCTGCAGAGGCTGTCAGCTCGCCTGGGGAAATGGCAGAGGGTGGCCCTAAGGCCACTTCTAACTGTCTGCTTTAGAGACAGTTGCTCGGGAATCACCGGTGAGGTAAGAAGTCCTACATTCCTGCACGATCCAGCTTTAGAATCAGACGGATCTGGGATCAAATGCCAGCTCTGCCCCTACATGAAAGCCTGTGAACCTAGAGAAGGCAGTGAACCTCTCTGAGCACCGGCCTCCTAATTAGCCTCCACTGCGAGGCCTGGCTACAATGCCACGCCACACGTGGTGATGCTCACCGAACACCGGCGAGGTGCCCACCACCCACGCCCAGGCCGCAGCAGCACAGGCAGGCTTGTAAGAGGCCTGCTGGGCTCACGTGGACAAGGACAGACAAAGGAGGGCTGAGGTGGTGCTGCCTCCAGCCCTCTGTTAAAATCAGGGGAAAGGCAGACCAGAAAGCAGCTCTCACAGCCCTCACGGGGCGAGGGTTTCCTCCTGCTGGCAGAGGAGTCAGAACACTTTCCGTGCAGGGTAACTAGTGGCCTCTGATGGCCACAGCACCAGGCCTGAAGCAACCAGAGGAAGGGGGGCCTCCGGCACCTCCCTGGGCGCCTGGCAGGGGGAAAAGTCTTTCTTGCAACTCCAGGCTGGAGAGCTCGGCCAGCAACCCCAGGGGCGACAGCACCCCCACGCCTAGGCCAGGTGCCGGCAGCCCCAGGCCAGGCTGCCACGGTGCAGAGACGTACCTCGGTCAGGACCGACGACGACTCCGGCTTAGACACGTTGTGGCTGTTAAAGAAGATGGACTCACGATCTGAAAGGCAAAGACAGGAAGGAGGCAGAGTTAGACTTCCAGGCAGGGAACGCGACTCCACCACCTGACACCAGGGGGCAGCACCAGCCCAGGCAGCCTCTGGCTCAGCATCCATTGGCAGAGCCCGGCTCCAGCAAGCTGAGCACCCCACCCCGAGGATGGACGTGTGGCCGGGCAGGGCCTCGGTTGCACTTTTTCCTGCCACATAAAAATGACCAACTTAATGCACTTACCTCTGCTACCATCTTGCATTCTCTCACCCGAGGCCCTGTTCCCAAAGTGAGTCACGGATACTCACCAAATAGGATCCTGGGAGACAGGGGCAGTGAGAACACTGCACCCCCAAACAGCACAGGCCCCAGGTCAAGCGGTCTGGTCAATGCCACTGAGTCCCACGTTCCAAGCCCCTCCCAGCCCGAGGAACTCTCACATGCGACAAGACACATGGACAGGCTGCCACCCGCACGTGAGCACTTAAAATACACACGATTCAGCTGTTTCTCAACGATTTAGGGAAAAAATAGGAAATCAGAACATGGGCTTCCATAGGATACATCCCAGAAAGCATACAGATAATTTCTGTGTGGTTCTGGAAGCTGGCACAGACTCCTAAAATACCGGCAGCCCCCACTCCACACTTCCCGGCTCCAGACTGCCTCCCACCTGCGGGGGCACCTGGCGCGGCAGACCCATCCCAGGAGCACTGAAAGTGTAAGCAGATGGTGCATTCGCTCATCCCAGGGCGGAAATCTCCTTGGGGAGTAGACCAAGGTCGCCCTGGGGAGATGGAAGGTTGGCTGGTAGGTTGGTCGGTCGGTAAGCTGGTCGGTCAGTCAGAAACATTTCTCGGGCATTTGGAAGGGCTTGAGTACACAACTGCAAGAACTGCAAACCATAGGCCTCGGGCTGAGTCCCGGTAAAGGCTGTCTGTCACCACACCATGACCTCCCCGAGAATGGCCCGGGAATGTCCTGGGCTGCCAGCCCCCAGCAGCCTGAGTCCTTGCAAGGCAGATGTTGTTGTTCCACCCCCAGGACACGGTATTCATCCCTCAGACCCAGGGATACAATGACAAGGAAGAAAGGCACTGGCAGAGGGTCACTGTGCCAGGGGCCAGGCCAAGAGGGCACCTGTTCTGGCTGCCAACTGCCCCCCACCAAGCTCCAGGACTCTACAGCGCTGCAATGATCATGCACGAGGAGGTGATTTGGGTGGAAGCCAAGCAGGCAGGCGCTGAAGTGTACCTGGCATCCTTCCCGCTAGCGGGGCACAGAGGCCCCTGGCCGCCCCGGTGTGCCCGACAGTCCTCCCTCTGCTCCGACCAGAGCCAGTCCAGACGGGGGGCATGAGAGACGGTCCTGGGGAGGAGCCTGGGAAAATAAACACCCTGCAGGACTTGTGCGAAAGCAGCCTCACTGAGCTCTACCCCCAGGTGCCAATGGCTAAGGAGAGTGAGCCTTTGGGCGTGCAGAGCCCCAAGGGCCAGGGGCCAGAGCAGGGCTCGAGCAGCTGAGATGGTGTTCTGGCCTTCAGCAGGCACTGCCACATTCTCCTCCTGCAGCTTGGCCTGGCCCAGCCCCACAAGCTCACCCATACCCCTGGGGGTCCCCAAGGGCAATAGTAGGGGCAGAGCAGGCCTAGTGGGTAAGGAAGGGCCACCAAGAGCAGGTGGACACAGCAGAGTCCAGGGAGGCTGGGAAGTCTGCAGGAGCTGCAAGGAGAACACATGGGTGCTGGGCTGGTACCAGGAGGGGACAGAGCTGGGCACTCAGAGGGGCTGGCCAGTGTTCACTGAACCGGACACAGCATGCCACCCACAGCTTCCCCTGGTGAGATGAGAAGTCTGGGCCATCTCAAAGGGGACTCTTTCTCCTTGGGGATTCCGACCTGGGAAGCCCAGCCACGGGACTATTCAGCAAGGCACTGGGGGACTCCCCAGGCTCCGCTCCTCTCCACGTGCAGCTGAGCAGGGGTGGGGGTGGGGGATGGGAGCAGTCTCCAGCCACTGCCTGTCACCCAGGAGACGACAGGAAGCTGAGATGGGCAAGAAGGGAGAGAGCCCCAGTGCCCAGCTCCACGACGACACCCGGCTCCCTCTAACAGACAGGGCCGGCGCTGCTCCCTGAGCTCGGTATGAGGCCCTTGTTCACAGGAGCACCCTGGATGTGGGGGGGCCCCATACAGTCTGTTCCCAAGAAACATACGACACCGGTGGAGAACCACCACCAACTTTCTGCAAAGGAGGGAGGAGGGCAAAGAAAGGAGTAATGTGTGTTTTTTATTCTCACCTTACAGATGAGAAAAACCGGTTTAAAAGAATACACGATTAGATTAGCCCCCAAATATCTCAGCGACTCAGCAGTGCGGCCACAAGCTAGGGACACAGTATCTTCGACCTCTGAAGACAGAGGCTTAATCTCCCGCCGTCTCGGGAGGAGCATGGGGGGGGAGTATGTCCCAGTGCTGCAGATGGTTTCCCAAGTCTCTTTCCAGTTCCATCAAATGTCACCTCCGCAGAGGGGCCACTGTGGCTGCCCTTTCCATGCGGCTCCCCTTACCCAGCGGTGTCCCGGGACCCACTCCATTTCCCCTCATCTCAGGCCACAACTGACCCTTTTACTATTTCTGCCCTCGTGTGCTGTTTCTCCCACTAGAACATAAGCTCACAAAGGCAGGGAGCTGGGCCGCCTACCCAGTACCTGATGGGGCCCCGAGTACCTCACACAGGTGGGGCACATGGCAGGTTCGATAAATGCCGCATCACTGAATCGTACGAGGATCCAGAGTAGAGATGAGCAAACTGCAGCCTGCAGGCCTGGCCACCTGCTCTCATAAATAGAGCTTTGCTGGAACTCAGCCACGCCCATCATTTACATACCATCTACAAAGCAGCATGAAATACGTGTGACGAGCAGGAAATATCTACCGTCTGGCCTTTTGCAGAAAAGTTCGCTGACCCTGCTCTAATATGCCAAGAGGCATCACTATTCTATGCACCCCCACGGGAGAAAGGCCCAGGCTGGAGAGAGGGACAGAAGACACCTGCACAGACCTGGGCTGGAAGAAAAGCAAACCCACCATACTCCCCAGGAACGTGAACCTCGGGCAGACAACACAGTGTTCCTGGTGGCCGTGCAAGCCAAAGCAACTCCTTCCATGACAACTGGACTGCAGTCCCAGCCAAAGCATCTGCAAGATGCCACCGGCTATAAGACACACCTGGTTATAGAGATGGTCACACATGGAAAGCAAAAGTGTACCTGAGAAGCAAAGACAATGGCAGCTGTGGAGTGGAGACCTGTGTCGTTGGCTCCATCCAAGGTCTGGAAAAACCCCATTCGAGGGGTCCCCACCCCCCTGAGCAGCAAGAATCAGGAAGCTGGGGTGGGGGCTGGGAAGAGGCCAGAGTTCCAGACCCCCTGCTCAATTGGGCCAGCTTAAAGGGTTGCTGTCACATTATCTTCTCATGCAGAAAGAAACACGTGTGTAAAACACACAGAACCCATGCCAGTCCCCTGGCACAGTGCCCGGGAGGGGACACAGAATCAGCTTCGGGGACGGAGGGACAGACACACTGAAAGTCGCTCAGTTCACGTGGATGTAACATTTCTGCTTTTTAGCTGTGTTTTCCTCCTGTTTGGGCCTGGTCTGCGTTGACAGGGACCTGGTGACCTAGAAACAGCTGCGGGAGGTGACATTCCTGCACTCAGGAGGTGACACTCAGGAGAGGAGTCCCCACCCTCACAGATGCGGGTTGCGAGCCTGCGCTCTGCGCTACGGCCCCCAGCGCCAGGGCGGAAACTGGGCCCGCATCTGGCAACCAGCAGGAAAAAGAGACAAAACAAAGACCAGCCACACCGTGTGCGGATAAGAAACGAGAAATTTCTGGGAGGGAGGGAAGGAGGGAGGTGATATAAGCTACAACTACTCTTAATATTTTCCATAGATTTAAAGCATGTATATATTTTTTTTAATCAGGAAAATAATAAAAAGGATTTTTAAAGAGTTGTCAGCCTCTTCTGGCCCCCAGTTCGGAAGAATGGCCCTTGGTGGTCTACGGTTATGGGCAAAAAGACATCTCCAGACATTTGCCCACCACCCCCACCACCAGATCATTCCAGCATCCCGGTGGGCGGGGGCTGGGCCCAGTGTTAGGATGGGGATGCCCCGAACCCTGAAAACGCAGCCTCGAGTCTGGGAGGCCCAGCACCACCCCGGAAGGCCGTCTGCCCTGGGAAGGGACGTGAAAGTGCACGTGTTTCCCGAGTGCCCACTCTGTGTGGTGTCATCCACGGGAAGAACAGCTGAGAGGGGAAGACGGAACAGCTGAATGGCACTCAAGAGCTGCTGCGTAAACAAGCCGTGGGGTGAGGGCGGTGGCAGGCAGCGCTGGGGGGGCACGTCAAGAAGACACGCCTGCCTGCTCAGAGGGAAGGAAGCAGCCCGGGTATCTGAGCGCTTCCGGGGACAGCGGCTTCCCTTGCGGAGAGAAACACACAACGTGTTCAGACAGACCACACCGGGACAACAAATGTCCTCCAAGGACTCACCCTGGAAAGCTGTGCTCAGTCCAAAGACACTGACACTGGCCAAAGGCCTTAGAAATGCCTCAGAAGCCACTAGAACATTTCTGGAGCAGCCCACAGCCAGCAAACCCTTTAACTTAGTGTCAGTTTTCGGAATGGCCCAGGCCGGGTGATGAGGTGAGTGGCTAGCTAAAGGAAGGCCCCTTGGTGCGGTGGGGTCTCACGGGCACCAGGGACAGCACCGTGCACAGGACAACACTGCATGACGCCGAGGGACGCTGAGACCACCACCCACTGATTCAGAACACCCCCAGTGGTGAGGTCCTCACCCTGTGGGGGGCTGCAGCACACTGTGGGGGGGGGGGCTGCATCCACCCTTGACCTGCCCCAGGTCCCCAGCTAGGATGTCCTCGTGACCAGCAGCTGCCACTTCTAATGGGGCGCTGATTCACCTCGGTAATTCACCTGAGCTTGGTCCCGGGTTCCCCACTTGGAAAACACAGACATGCAGCAAAGACAAGAGAAAGTGGTCAAGTCTGGCCCCTCCCTCCCGCCCTCCCACCCTGAAGGGCCAATCAACACTCTGCCATTCCAGCACATTCCTTCTGAGCCTCGTTATTGTGTAGGTCCCCAGGAAGTGTCTTGGGAATAAAGAAACTTCCAGACGCTTCCTGGAGCCTATGGTGTTCAGACGGGTGGAGCCCCTACAGCAACCTGGGGGAACAGGGAGTTTTCGCTGGCTGCCCGGACCCCTTTGTCTGTAATGCCCGCCGTACACGGGTCTTAACCTTCAGACCATCCCTCCACCCCTCCAGAAGCAGCACAGGCTGGTGGGGGAAGTGCGGAAGGACAGACAGCCGGTGCCACGTCCTAGCTGCGCCCCTGGGCCTGGCACAGCCCGAGATGGCACAAGGAGTAGGCAGTTACCTGACGTGCCCGCGGAGAAGTTCTTGAGCGAGGGCCTCTGGACCACGGTGTAGGACTCGCCGACCACAAACACCTTGTACAGCACGGCGTTGTGGTTGATGAAATTCTGGACCACGCAGGGGGGCTGGATGGCGCTCAGGCCCTCCTGGTTGAACACAATGGCCATCTGGGGAGACAGGGGCCACAGGCTCCGTCAGAGTCTACCACCCCCGTGCCAGGGCCCCTCCACCAAGGCCCATCCGGGACCTGCGGCATGAGGGCTCCCCCAGGGGACTCTCAGGCAGGGTGAGTGGAGTGGGACTTGGTAAGAACACCTGGGGATCAGCTCACTTCTGCTGCAGGGCTTTGGAAATCCTGCATCCATTGTGCCTGCCATGTAGGGTTGAGCTGGCGGCGCCCTGCACAACTCCTGAGAGCACAATTCACACTGTGGTCCAGGGAACGGAGCCCCTGGGTTGAGTGCTACTCAATCCTACGCCATCCCAGGGATCCTCCAAAAAGATCCAAGAGGGGCAGGCAGGAGCCAGATGGCTATAGATCAGGAGTCAGAGGCCTTGGGACAGAGCCTGTGTACCAACAAGGGCTGCCTGTCACTGAGCAGTCATGGCAAGCCAGGCCCCGTTCTAAGTACTTAATGTAAGTTACCTGGTTATCATCCTCACAATGCACCTGAGGTGGCATATCGCCACCCCTATTTTACAGATGAGGAAGCTGAGGCCCTGAGGAGTTCAGTGACTGGCTGGAGCGCAAGAGCCAGAGGGAGTCGGGCGTGCCCAGCACCCAGCCTTGCCCTCACATGCTGGGCCTCCTGACACTCCACAGACAGGAGTATGTCTGTGCTCCCAGCCCCTGGCTCATCTGGGGACAAAGGTCCCCGATAGGAGCATCCAGCAGGGGGGCTGAGGCAGGGAGGGAAGAGGGCAGCTGCAGAAAACCCCTCTGCCTCGCCGAGGGCAGGGCTGCCTGGAGCCTGCTCTGAGGACGCCGGGACAGAGGGCTTGGCCCACAGCCCACGCGATCCAGCTGCCAGCGCCAGCGTCATGGCTAATCCCTCAGCCTACGGGGCCCCAGGAAGGAGCCACCAGATGCCCAGGGCTGCTGAGCAGGAATAATAGGGCCTGGACAGCTGGCCGCCTGCACCGGCTGCCACCCCTCATGTCAACTGTCACGGAGCACCAACCCTACGTGCCTGGTGCTCAGCCGGGCAGGACAGAAGTAGGAAATGGGCCACACGGGGAAAACAAAAAGTGCACGTGTATGCTTGGGGGCAGGGGGATGGAGTGGGGAGTGAATGTCTCTCCTTAGCCTTCTGATAAGAATGAAAGAACCACACGCAGAAAACAGGAAAGAACAGGCAGCTCAGAGTCAGGCAGGGAGGGGTTCAAGCCCCCACACCGGCACCCACTCTGCTCACACTCCATTTTCCTCGTCTGTAAAACAGCAGCCATCACCACCATGGGGTGGCTCTGGGGTGCCTTGAGCTTTTGGCCAGGTAGTTTAAAAAAGAGAGAGAGAGACATCCTACTGTGGGGCAGAGTACACGGTATGCATGCACTGGCTCCAAAACGAAATAGAAGCCCAAACAGTTCTGTGGACATAAAATGAAAACAGAGTGGTTTGGCAGAACCGGTCCTGGTTTTGGCTGAGTTACGGGCTGGAGGTGCAGAGGCAGGGCTGGGCAGGCTGGGACTCAGGACCCAATCAGGGACACCCACTTTCCTACTTAAGGCCAGTCACGTGCCCAGTGTCATTCCCTGCCCTGGCTGCCCTCAACGCCGCTGCACATCCCTGAAGTCTGTGGAAACCCGGCCCCAGCCCACCCGCCCTGTGCAGGGTGGCCACAGCAGAGGGAGTGTTCCCCTCTGATGCCGAGGGGCTCCCAGTGCACACAGGAGTCTCCAGTGCTCAGGACGGTGCTACAAACTTCCCTGGCTGTGGACCGGGACAGCAGCTGGTGGAGGATGCAGGCATAGGGGGCACCCGTGTGTCTGTCTGGGAGCCAGAGAGCTGGAATGAGGGTGCTGACCCCACACTTGAGGGCTGAGACTCCCCAAGGCCCACAAGGGGCTTCCGGAGAGGAGTTCACCTGGACACAGAGCTGCCGCCCCTCTGCAGGCGCCCGGCAGGCTGCAGAGCAGCTGGCTCCCTGACAGCTCATCGAACAGTTCCCTTGGGCCAGGCCCCGCTGCAGCCATGCATCACCCCCTCGTCCTTCACGGCAGCTGTTTAATCCCCAGTCACAGGGTGGGGGAGGCGCTCTGGGCGGCTCAGTGACTTGCCTGAAGTCGCACAAATGGCAACACACAGCACCAGAATTGCCCCCAGTTCTTAACATAGAAGCAGTTCCATCTCCCCAGGCCAACCCGTTCTGACTTAGGCGGGTCTAATCACACCAGTGGCTACGTTCACACTTCCAGCCTGAAATGCTCAAGGAACTGACAGGCACAGGAACCACTGGGGGTGAAAAGGGCCAGTGGCAGGTGCAGGGGCGGGTGAGGGGGCCATGGCTGCTGGGAGGATGCTGCTCTCCAGCCTTCCTGCTCCCTCCCTAGCCTGACCCCGAAGCACAGCATGGAGGGCGCCGCCCCTGCCTGGAGCCCAGGCCCGCCGTGGACGTGGACGGGGCAGGCCAGCGCCCGGGAAGACTCCAGAAGGACTCCTGACCTCGGGGACAGCTTGCTCTGCGACAGATGATGCCTTCCACCGCTGTCTCCACATTCCTTCCCACGGGCAGGGCCGGCCCCCATCACAGCGTGTCCCGGGCTAGACTGACACTGTCTGTTTATAGACGTTTCCCCATGATACACGCCAGGGATAAAGGGCACTACATAAATCTAAAGGTCACTGCCGACGGGGCTTCCATTTTTAGTCGCAAGCTCCCGGGGAGCACGTGTGACGGTGGGGCTGCCCAGGGACAGGCTTTGCCCACAGGGCCCACTTGGGTCAACGGCTCCTGCCCAGAGACCCTCACGCGTGCCCAATGGGGGGCCCAGGCTGGGCTGTGCCCGGGGGCTGAGGACAAGGTCCCAGGTGGCTCCTGAGGGTGGCAAGGGCGACAGAGCCCCAGGGAAGCCCCTGCATGGCCGTCTGCGCCTCTGAAGGTGCTCACATGCTCACTCTACCGCATCTCACTGGCACTGGCTCTCTGGGGACTCTCTGTCCCCGACCGGGGCAGACTCGGATCTCATGCACCCGTGCCCCTGGCCCCCGACACAGTGAATAAAAGAACGAATGAGCGGGTGGGTGAACCAAGCACACCCGGGTGCTGCTCCCCTTCCCTCCCCAACCTAAACTCAGCAGCGCCGGCAGGTCCTTGCGGGCAGTGACAGAATCCTCTCAGAGCGGACAGCCCAGCCAGTGCCTGCCACGAAACAGGCCCTCAGGGAGTTGACGATGCTGACAGGCCAAAGGACAAAAAGCCAGGGACAGACTGAACGGGGGTGTGACGCACATGGGCTCTGCTATGGGTGGAATGTGTCCCCCAACTTTCATATGTTGAAGCCTAAGCCTCAGGGTGGTGACTCTGGAGGTGGGGCCTGTGGGAGGTGATGAGGGTTAGATGAGGGCTCAAGGGTGGGGCCCTCGTGATGGGATCAGTGCCCTTATGAGAAGACACCAGAGCTCGCTCTTGCTTTCTGCCCTTGCATACAGTAGGCGCACATAAAAGGAAGAGGCGGTGTGAGGACACAGAGAGAAGGTGGCCGTCTGCAAGCCAGCATGGGGGCCCTCGCCAGACACTGACCCTGCCGGCACCTTGATCTGAGACTTCCAGCCTCCAGAACTCTGAGAAAATAAATGTCTGCCGTTTGAGCCACCCAGCATAGGGTATTTTGTTATGGCTGCCAGAGCTAAGGCTCCAAAGGGGACAGGTGGCCCCCAGCACATCCTCCCAGCCTTGGGGGCAGGACAGGCACTGGGGCGAGGGTGCCGACAGTGCACAAACCCACGGCACTTCTACCCGATCCCTGTGGAGCCCGGGGAGAGGAGGGAGGGAGCTGCCCACCATGGAGCCCGGACCACGCAGGACCGGGGGAGCAGCTGCAGTGTGGAATTCTGCGCACAGGTCGGCAGGGCCCAGGGAGCGTGATGAGCTCAAAGAATTGGGGGGATGGGGGGAGTCAAGTCATCTTCCACTCACCTCGTGAGAGTTGGTGCCATGAGCCACTCTGGTTTTGCAAACTATGGGTGGGGAAGAGAAAAGCAGAGAGCAATTAGTGAGGCCATTCACCCACAAGATCTGTCCTGGCAAACACGGGCACTTGGCACTTGCAGAAAGGAACTCCTAAAACTCCCGTGGCGATCGCAAGACGGGGCAGGTGGGAGCTGCTGAGACACACTGGCCCTGGATGAGTAGGGTCTGCGCTCGCTCGGGGCCATGCAGACGGACGCCCTAGGCCAGGTGGGGAGAGCGCCTGAGCCCCCCCCAACCCACTCCCCTGGCAGGGATGGAGGTGAGACACAGGCCATGCCCTGCGTGGCAGCTGAGGCCCTCACCCATCCTTGGGGGAGTTTAAACTCCGAGAGGACCGCACCCCTCCCCACCCGCTCCCAGGCCCAGCGGAGGCTGGGGCGCGGGCGCCGTACGTACTGAACGGGAAGGCCAGGCCGTTCTTCTCCAGCAGCTGCATGGTGTCGTCCCCGCACAGGCTCGTGAGCTCCATGAAGGGCGGTGAGCAGATCCTGTCGTCTAGGGCAGAGGGGAGCCTGTCAGTACAGTCCTGGGCAGCCACAATCTGGGACACCCCCCCCCCAGGACAGCCCCTGCCTCCGTGTGTGTGTGGATGACAACGGCAGCATGTCCTTTAATGACAGTTTCTAACGACACTTCTGTAATTACAAAATATAACTGTAAAATACAAAGAGCACAGAAGAGTAAAAAATATACATATTCTCAGATATTCTAATGACTACATCCTTAGCCTTTATCTTGGGCATATATACATTTACACACAGAGTGCTTTATGACAGAATACGGTTTTGCAACCTGAATTTTAACTTAATAAACTGTGACCAGTTTTCTAGCCCAATGAAGACTCGTTTCACATACGACAAAGTGGCTTGAGGATCATCGCAGGAACAACACAGCTTTCAGCGCGCGCCTAGCACTGTGCTGGGGGCTTTTCGGGTGTCGTTTTGCAAAATAACCCCCTAAGGAGGGACGGAAAGACCCTGCCTGTGGTGACTCGACTATTCCCTCACCCGGACATGGACCCGGCCTGCACCTTCTCACGACTTAATGTGCTGGAGAGGACCTCGTGGAGATCCTTGACGGCCTGGGCTCCTGTCCCTCCAGCAGCCCCAGTTGGCCCAGGCCCACCCTCGCCTGGCCAACACTGCCTGGCCCTGCACGGCCGAGTCCCCAGGCTCAGGTGGGTGCTGCTCTCTCCAGGAGCCCACCCAGAGGGCTCTGATAACAGGTCTGATTTTCTCAAAGGCTCTAGAAGCCAAGATGCTCTTTCACTGTGATGTCCTGGTGTCAGGCACCAAGCTGGGGGAAACAGATTTTTGTGGGATAACAAAAGCATTCTGGATCTCTTACGGGCCTGTTATTATTGCTTCTTGTCGCAGGCCCCTGCCCCGATAAGACCATGAGCTCCCCAGGAGCTGGGACCACCCCGTACTGCTGGGCACAGGGGCTGGAAGGCTGAGCATTAGTGGGGTGGGGATGGTCTGCCACCCACAAACTTGGAAACCAAACCAATAGTAAACAAGCAAGGCAGACTGTCCCAAGAGCCTCTAGGGGGTCAGCACATTAAACCGAGGCAGGATGCAGCTTAATTTATCTCATAAAAACCAATGACCGATGCCAAGAATGACACGGGGCATATTAAAAGTGTTTTCATCTCCCTCCTCACCCTCATTCCCCCCACACCTTGTATGCCAGGCAAAGTCCAAACCCCAAACAGGTACAAAATTTGGGGTGGGGGTTGCCGAGTTTCTTTGGGGCCAAGGGGTGGGTGGCCTAGAGCCAGGGTTTGCTGAACCCCTGGCCGATGGTGTTGCAGGCCCTCTGCACAGAGCTGTCGTTCGATCCTCAATGTGGCCTAGGAGCGTGTGGCATAGGGTGTCCAGAACAGAGGCCACCCAACAATCCGCAAAGAACAGGGCTGAGCTGGCAGCCCAGGAGAGAAGTCAGGAAAATCGGGGTGGGGAGAGGCAGATCCTGGTGCTCAGCTGTAAGCCGCTACCCAAGCAAGGCCCCACTACTGTGCCTGACCCAGAGGCAGCGCCTGGGCAGGAATGCTGGTGAGGGGCTGGCGGGCCCCTCCCCACCATCAGGGAGGGAGCACTCTGTGCCAGAGGCTTGTTGCTGACAACACACAACCCTGTAGCCCTGCCCCAGAGATGTGACTCTCAGACACCTGAAGAATCTGGAGGATTCTGCAGTGGGAGGTCTTAAGACAGGTGCTCATGTGGCCTGGGGCCCACCCTTGGCCTATTCCCCACCCCAACACACAGGAAGAATCAGATGCTGCTAGAGTCTAACAGGCCATCTCCTGTAAGAGCTTCCAGACTCCCCAGCCAGAGTTTTACAGCAGGTGAATCAGCCTGGCTATCAGATTTCAATGTCCGCCCCAACCATCCCTCTCCACCCCGGCCCACTGAAAATTTCACATAATGTCACTGATAATGGCCAACATCTCAATGAACTGCACCTGCTCCATGCCAGACACTGTTCCACACAGTTACACAGTAACTCATCTACCCTCACAAGAGCCCCACCAGGAAGCACTACTGTCACCCCTATTTTATAGATGAGGAAACTGGGGCACGGAGGTGACACTCCCTCTGTAGAGTTACAGTGAGCCAGTGGTGCAGCCAGGGGCTCTCACCTGGGCAGTTTGACTCCCAAGCTCCTACTGCTGCTCATGGCCTCCCTAGCAGAAAAAGTACCCACTGAGATCTCAGCTCAAGGGTGCCTGACAGCATGCTCCTCTGCTCTGGGGCAAACCTCAGAATAATAACAACAGGCGTCCTCAAACTATGGCCCTCGGGCCACGTGTGGGTGTTTTTGCCTGTTTGTTTTTTTACTTCAAAATAAGATATGTGCCGTGTGCACAGGAATTTGTTCATAGTTTTTTTTAAACTATAGTCCGGCCCTCTAACGGTCTGAGGGACAGTGAACTGGCCCCCTGTTTAAAAAGTTTGAGGACCCCTGAATAACAGCATCTACATGCAGATATCAATCAAGGTAAGACACCATGTTAATGAATAAAGCTGTGTTCCCCAGCCCCTGGGCCTCGGACCAGTGCTGGCCTGTTAGGGACCGGGCTGCACAGCAGGAGGTGAGCAGTGGGTGAGCGAGGGAAGCTGCACCTGTATTCACAGCCACTCCCCATCGCTCGCATCACCGTCTGAGCTCCGCCTCCTGTCAGATCAGCAGGGGCATTGGATGCTCCCAGGAGCGTGAGCCCTGCTGTAAACTGCGCATGCAGGGATCCAGGCTGCCTGCTCCTTAGGAGGATCTAACGTCTGATGATCTGAGGTGGAGCTGAGGCTGATGCTAGCGCTGGGGAGCGGCTGCCAATACAGATCATCAGCAGCAGAGAGGTTTGACTGCACAATAAATGTAATGCACTTGAATATTCCAAAACATCACCCCCCCACCCCGATCTGTGGAAAAATTGCCTTCATGAAACCAGTCCCTGGGGACAATTGGGGACCACTGGAATACAGGACATGATCATCTCAACAGACGCAGAAAAAGCAGCTGACAAAAGGTAACATCCTTTCACGGTAAAAACACTGAACAAACTAGGAATAGAAGGGAATGCCCTCACCCTGACGAAGGGCAGCCACGCAACCCACACTCACAGACAGCACCGCACTCACCAGCGAGACAGACACCTCCCTCAGATCAGGAACCAGATGCGGACGTCAGTTCTCACCACTTCTAGTTAGCACTGTGCTGGAGGTTCTAGCCAAGGCCATTAGGTAAGAAAAATGAAATGAAAAGCATCCAGATTGGAAAAGAAGAAGTAAAACTATCTCTATTTGTAAACATGATTTTATATATAGAAAATCCCAAGGAATCCACACACAAAACAACCCAGAAACTATGAGTGCTAATAAGTGAGTTCAGCAAGGCTGTAGGATACAAGATCAATATATGAAAAGCAACTCTCTCTCTCTATATATATATATATACTTCAGCAATGAACAATGCAACTGTGAAATTAAGAAAATACCATTTACAAAACCATCAAAAAGGATAAAATACTTAGGAATAAATTTAACAAATAAGTACATGACTTAAATGCTGAAAACTACAAAATGTCATTAAAAGAGATTAAAGATGACTTCAATACATGGAAAGACACATTATGTTCATAAATAGATTTGATTTATTTTTTAAGAGATAGGGTCTTGCTCTGTCACCCCAGGCTGGAGTGTAGTAGTGTGATCATAGCTCATTGTAACCTCATACTCCTAGGCTCAAGTGATCCTTCTGCTTCAACCTCCCAAGTAGTTAGGACTACAAGTGTATACCATCATGCCTGGCTAACTTTTTTATTTTTTATAGAGACAGGGTCTCCCTATGTTGCCCAGGCTGGTCTTAAACTCCTTGCCTCAAGTGATCCTCCTGTCTTGGTCTCCCAAGGTGCTGGGATTGCAGGCTTGAGCCACTGTGCCTGGCCTCGGAGATTTGATATTGTTTAGCTGGCAATACTCCCAAATTGATCAACACAATACCCAAAGTTCTAGCTTTCCTTCTGTCACTATTGACAAGCTGATCCTAAAATGCACATGAAAATGGAAGGTACCCAAAATAGCAAAAGCATCTTGAAAAAGAAGAACAAAGTTGGAGGGCTCGCATTTCCTGATTTCTAAAACTTACTACAAATCTACAGTAATTGAGACAATGTGGTGTTGGCATAAGGATGGACATAAAGATCAGGGGAACAGAATAAAAAATTCAGAATTAAACCCAAACATCTATAATTTAAATGATTTTCTACGAGGGTTCCAAGACCAAGACAATTCAAGGGAGAAAAGAAATATTCTTTTGAACAAATGGTGGCAGGACAACTGGATATTTACATGCAAAAGAATGAAGATGGAACCCTACCTCACCTCATATACAAAATTAATTCAAAATTGATCGTGATCTACTTATAAGAGCTAAAACTGCAAGACCCTTTCTAGAAGAAACATAGGTGTGAATCTTCATGACTTTGGATTAGGCAATGGCTTTTTAGGACACTAAAAGGAAAAGCAACAAAAGTAAAAGTAGATTAAATTGGACATCATCAAAAATAACTTTTGTGCTTCAAAGGGTACTATAAAGAAAGTCAGTCTGGGCGCAGTGGCTCATGCCTGTAATCCTAGCACACTGGGAGGCCGAGGTAGACAGATCATTAGAGATCAGGAGTTGGAGATCAGCCTGAGTAAGAGTGAGACCCCATCTCTACTAAAAATAGAAGGAAATTAATTGGCCAGCTAAAAATATATATAAAAAAATTAGCCAGGCATGGTGGCACATGCCTGTAGTCCCAGCTACTCAGGAGGTTGAGGCAAGAGGATTGCTTGAGCCCAGGAGTTTGAGGTTGCTGTGAGCTAGGCTGATGTCACGGCACTCTAGCCCAGGTAATAGAGTGAGACTCTGTCTCAAAAGAAAAAAAAAAGAAAGTGAAAAGACAACCCATAGAGCAGGGAGAAATATTTGCAAGTCGTATATCTGACATG